GAGCAACCATTTCTGACTCCTCATGCAATTTTGTGATACGACTTTCGAATGAAGTGAGAGTTGCAGATGCCACATCTGGAGCAATAGTGCCAGATACGGGCTTTTCTTCGTTCCATTGGGCAGTGATCTCTGCAATTTTCTCTCCAACTACCCTGTCCTCTGCAGTAATCTTGGCACGTAACGCGTCGGTCTGATCTTCCACGATTTTAGCTTTTCGAGCTAGGATTTCATTGAGAGCAGTCCACTCAGAATCGATTTGCTCCACTCCTAGCCAGTCCACGGGAAATTGATATCGTTGTCTAACAAGTGTGGTTTGTCCTTGCCTGAAAGTTTCTACCTCTGGGCCCCAAGCCTTTACCCTCCGCTTACAGGTCTGTACGATGGTGATAAATTGCACAGCTTGTGCCGTGGACGATGCTTCTAAGGATTGTACTTCGAGATCACGTCGTGCTTTTTCAATCTCAGCATAGACTTCGCGAACACGGTTTCCAAGGCGACTTCCAAACTTGATCAAGATCTCGTGTTGCCACTGATCATATTTGGCATTGACCTTTGTCTGGACCTGATCGTAGTCAATGGTGAGATGTCCGAACGATCGACTCACTTCAGTTGTGTCGAAAGTGGAGCGAGTTTTCCTGATCTCTTGCAAAAGCTGCAGCCACTTTGAGAGTTGTTCACCCAAGGTTTCATACACGAGATCAGATTGAAGATCCCATAGTGATTGAAACTGTAGCCATTTGTCAACGTAGAGGCTAACCTCGTGCAGTTTTGCTTCAACGCATTTGTAGGCTCTCAGAAGTTCATCTGCACAATCTCGCGGGAGTTCCGTAAATAGCTCTTCGGGATCATTAGTCGTTCCCAAGGTCATGACATACCGAGAAGCCTTGACTTTACGAAGATGGCATACGACCCCAAGCCACTCATGTAGTTGGGAAAACCAGCTAGCTCTGGCATATTCCAAAGGCGGATCCAAGTAGATGACTTGGTTGCGCATGGAGATCTCGTGTACCAGTCGCTTCATGGATGGTTTGTTCTCAGGTGGAGACTCGGTCAAGATACTGAAGTGCTTCCTGCGGCTGTCGTCGTTGACACCGTCAGATCGTTCGTTTTCAAAGGTATCAATCCACACTTCGATTGCTTGTTGTAGACGCCTCAGAAGAGTGACCTTAATACGGTCATTCATTTCTCTGACCCAATAAGGCAAGTTGACATAGTTCTCGAGGTTCAATTGATCAACAGCCATCTGAATCGTTTCCAAACGGGCCTGGAATGCAGCTATCTCGTAAGGACACTTATCTAACTCTGCCAAGGTTTTCTGAATCGTCGCATTGATAGAAGCAAGAGTCTCTGTCTTGCTTTGTAATAAGGCAACTGAGGCAGCGATTTCGCGAACAAATTGCACGTGTTTGCTCTCGGTTCGATTGGCAATGGCAGGTTCAATTGAACCCTTTGTATAGGTGGGTTTGATGTGGATATCATATGAGTGCACAAACGACTCCCATTTCAGAGAAACTCCACGAGCAATCAAGGCCTGGACTTCGTGCTGGTACCCACTTAGAAGTATTTGAACATCGGCCATTTCGGCTATTTGACGACTGGTTTGTGTGAATGTCCGAACGGTTTCCATGAGACTCACAGCATAGGGATATACACGCTTTGCATCCTTCGATATGTTGTTGATCTGATGAGGAACAGGGTAATTCAACCACTGTAAGTTTCGCGTCTCTTTAAAGAGCGCGATTACTTGATGGTCGAAGTTGACGGCTAATTCCAAAGCATTATTTGCTGCGCGGATCTTGTTTATGTTAAAAAGCCTGCCAGAAATGGTAACATGCTTTCGCTGTACATCATGAAGCCATGCCTCAAAGATTGGTCGAGTATCCAACTTATTGCGAAAAAGATTACTATCACTGAGAAGCTTCTGTCCCTCGGCGTGAAGCGCCCATTCAGTCCCAAGTACGTCCTCAACTTTTTTCATATATCCATTGAGTTGTTTCTCAATTTGGCGAGCCCAAATGATCGCTCCCGAAACAGGAGGCAGATCTCTAAGCTGTGCCATTGCATGAGCTTCGGAATGGCCATATTGCTGCTTGAATCGCTCGTGTAGGGAGGATATATCATGTTTCACGTTGTCAATAAGTTGCGTTTGATATTCTGTGATAGCTCCACGGATTTTTGGTCGGACAAATAGAGCATTGAACTTAGAAAATACTCGAAACATCTCGCTTGCTGTCTTGGCAGTGGCTAATCGATCTCGCAATCGGGCAATGATTGAGTTCTCGACGCGCGATGTTCGTTCATTATAAGTACTCTCTGCTTGAATCCACAATTGCGTTCCCTCGGAAGAAACATCGAGCATATCTATATTGCTCAACGCAGCCCAAGCTTGTTTGATTTCTTCAACAGCATCCACGTCCCCCATCTCTTCAACTAAAACAACTCCATTGGCTCCACCCTCTGGAACGTCATCACCAACCTTGGGTGCTAAAACATTGATTATTGTTCGCTGTAGCTGTTCGTGGTTATCTCTGAAGGTGCTCACATATTTCAGACGTGCTTGCAGCTCTGCGTGCTTTCCGATGATTTTTATGGGCATGAACTTCTCGTTTCTTCGACGTGTGACTTCTCGGGCAACGTTGGTGAACTCCTTTAGATTGTCATCCCAAATGGCCCAAATTGAATCGGCGACAGACATCAACTTTCTGAAATCTCGATACTCCAAATGCATCAAGGAGCGACCGTGAAGTAGAAAGTGAAGTCGATTGTCAAGATCTGCAGAAATTGCTTCTACCAGTGGCAAAGCACGTCGAACTGGGTATGGACAAATGCGTAATTTTTTGTTCAAGTGCCCAAAAATAAGGCCCAGTGCATCACCAACCTTCTGTAACGAAGTTGCTGAAAGCAATTCATCGAGAGGGAAATCTCGCATAAGTTGATTGTACTTCTGTACTTTATCGGTCGACTCCTTCAACCCAGTATCGGATGTGAAACTAAGAGTAGCCTGGAAACGTTTGGCGTGTCTTAATATCTCGAGAGTAAGCATTACTCCATCGCTGGCTAATTGTGCACCAATATTTTCGAGTGTGGACTCCATAGCGAGCCAGAACTGAATTTCCTGTGATGCAGTACCGCTTGTTGGATCCCGCGACAACTTTGTAATAGCTTGTATTGACTTAATCCATCCGTTTACTAGAGACTGCAGGTTATTGAGGAAAGCACTGTCGTGCATCAATCTCTCCGGAATGAAATCCACTGATGGCTTGCGTTTACGAGCGACTGCTTCATCAAGTGCATGCTGCACCATTGGGTGTAGTTGAAGTGTCAAATCGGGAATATCGACATTATCCTGAAGATGTCGCAAAGCCAACTCCAACTCTGCCAACTTCTTTTTGGTGGCAGAAACACCGGTCTTAGCCTCAAGTTCTGATATACTTCGATTCCCACTCGCTGCCTGTTGTTGTTTTGTATATGCATCGAAGTATGGCACCAGCGCTAGATGCACAAATGAATGCAAAATAGAAGCTCCCGCCTGGCCGTTTGTGGATTCATTCGGCAATGCTGCGCCCGGTAAATTAATAAGTTGTATTTGAGAAGATATGGGTATCGAAGGGTCTATAGGTTGCGGTCCTTTCATAAAAGCGACAGATCCGGTTGTTGAAGAAGAGGAGGATATATCAGAAGCCAAACTATAGTTGTACAAAATAGAACCTGCACGCTGTTAACAAACGTCCTTCGGGACCAAATGAATGCGGCTCTTACTTGGTTCATCTGGGGAATCCCCTTCCTCTCGTGGAACTGCATCTTTCTGTACGTATATTACAGCTTGGTGAGATTCAGATGCAAATCTGGTGCATCGCTGAGCTGTATCAGAGTATTGGGCTTCAGAAAGAAGACTACCAGTATGCTCAAGGTCATCTCGTGTTGCTCCTAGAGTGATCTCAAGAACAGATGCAAGAAAGTCAACAAGTACCTTGGGTTCTATCGAAGGAAATGTGCTTGTTCCGACCCCGTTTGCTCCATTTCCGGAGGGACTTGCGGTGGAGTCAAGCAAGCTCATGGCTGTTAAGTTGGTAATTTATAGGGTTGTATTCATCACCGGTGTATTTTATTTTTTCTATGTCATAAAGTGATCTTAGTAAAGTAAAGTATTTACAATATATTGTAAGGGGGTGAATCTGTTGATTTCTGTGGTAGGAAAGTGGGTGGTAGGATGGTAGAACCCAAATATCGATGCTGTATTTAATTACATTGATTTTGTTGTCGCGACCGCGATTTCAACCCCTGTCGCTCTAATCATCCCGCTCGCTAGTGCCTAGTGTCATGCAATAATTCTTGACTTCCCTCTCGCTCTCCTATTAATATAACTCCGGCTTCTAGAATAAAACAGACATTTCACTGCCGATACCGATTACCTATGTAGAGGTAGTCAGTCTTTGATATCTTCTTGTCACAGCGAAGACAACACGTCGTGGGCTTTATTACGATTCCGAAATGGGAATAACACGGTGTTGTTTCTACATAGGAGACAGAAAGTACAAGACTCATGTCACATTTCCATAGTAAGATCGAGCACGCATTGAGAGTTAAATGCCATGTGGTAGAAGTGTAATCTTATAAGCATTCACATTCATTCAAATAACCAATTTTTTTTTAATGTAGATATCCACACCCAATTGCATCTTCAAATCTGTCCAAGCAGTCATATATATCCCAACATTCGCGTGCATTTGTACATTCACATTCATATTTGAGACACTCTAGGTCTTGCAATGCAACCCAAAATTTCAATACAGATCATATAACGTTTACTCAATCGCAGTAGCATGCTCAGCATCTTACACTTGTCAAACTACAGAGCACTGAATGCGGGGAATGTAAAACAAGCGATCTGCACGGTGCTAGGTATAACAATGAATCTGGCTGACCTGATTTGCATTACATACCTACGTACGGCTTTTTGCAGTCTTGCAAATAACAACCAGGCCCATATTGACAGTATGGATACTATGTACAAATTAGATGTGATGCGTAATGCGAGAACCTACGGACGCCAAGCATGCGAATTGATGTACATTGGACTTTTATACAGTCCACCCTGGGGTTTCGGAATTTATCCAGTCGCCGTTCGTGAAGTCGGTAAAAAGTTTGGGTGATAAGGAAGAGTGGAGGGGTTCAGAATACATGTATATTGAGACAACAACCAAACTAATCAATCAAGGCCAACGCCAGGAATTCCACTATCCGAACCACTGCCGCCAAAAGGTCCAACATCTAAAGCTGCATCCGCTGCAATCATTTCTGCAAGAATATCGAGGACCGGCTAGTAATTTGTCAGTCTCTTGGTTAATAAGATTGGGATGTGAGAAGCTACCTTTGGCACTGTCTTGTCGTAGATAGATATTAAATCATTTGGTTGAGGATAAACTTTGAGTGCCTTGTAAAAACAAAGTGCTGCTTCTATGGGGTCGCCACCTGTGATCGAGTGTTAGATTCGAGACCTGGCTTTCTTCGTGAAGATCACTCACCCTCTGAGCTTAAGCCTTCTCCTCTAGCAACTTCTGACATGAAATATGCCTCTTTCTCCTCTACATCTACGGGGAACCCATCTTCCTTGGCTTCTACAACCACTGCCTTGATAACTTCTTTTTGTCTCTCGTTGTGAGCTTCCGCTTCCTCCTTCGCGGCTTTTGCTTGTCGTTTCGATTCTTTCTTCAATTGTTTGCGAAAGTTTGGATCGGTGCGTCTCTTATGGTCGAAATAAATTGCGTAGGCTATGATGAGAATTGTGAGCAAATTGAGAAATTCTATTCGAGGATAGAAACCACCTACCGACCAATCCTGTAGCAACTGTGCCAACACTGGCAGCGACGATTGTGGAAGTCTGAACCATTTCGTAGAATTTTATGCGATATTAAAGAAAGATTCGGGAAGAAAAATGAAGTAGCTTATCAGCTGTGGTCGTCTACGGTATTGATGGGGCTGATCTCAAGTCTCCAACGCTCAGAAATGTTTCTCACGCCAAAGCTATCGATAAATTTTGGGAATTTTAGGTCCAGCGGCTCTCGGACCAATCTAAATCCACCCACCAAATATTTTGAAAGGACAATGGTCGCGTCCTTGTCAGGTTGATTGATTGGCACTCAATACGGGTAGCTAGTTCGTCGTCATAATCCTCTTACCTAGGCATTGGCTTCACAATTCAATCAAATTCTTCAATACATTTTATTACATGACAATTGGAAATATCATTTAATTGACTTTCTTATTTTCAAGTCCAATTGATCAAATTAGGTACAGACAAACATAGGCGTGCGGGAACGCTTGCTCCTTTCGGTTACTCCTACTCTGGGATATATGTCCATAGACCAACCTGAACCTTAAAACACGTCCCTTTCGATATATAACTTCCTTATACTCATCAACTCAACCCGCCTCCTTTTCTCTTGCTGACGCTGTAACTACAATATCATGTCGGACGAAAGGAAAGGCGTGTCTCTAAGGACCAAGAGGAAGGGTCGTCCAGCAATAAGTGCCCCCAAACAGATATCTGGTCCAATTCCACAAACCGGAGGAGATGCTTCACGAAGTGCTGGGCAGCCATCCTTCAATGCCCCGCCCACGCAACGTCCTCAGCCTGGCGGAAAGGTATGTCAAAGTTTATCTTGAGTTCTCTTGTTAGAAAGGCCTGGTTATTTTTGGTATAGCTGCTAATGGAAGTCGCAGACATCTGATCTAGTGAAACGGCGATACTCTACTCGATTTAATAATCTTCCCTCTGACTTCGACCCTTCCGCTCCTCCTCTCCCATCTGTTCCCAATTTACCAGCTCAGTATGCTCCAGCGAACGACCGTTCACGAGGTCCCTCGCCGGCGAGAGGACCTGGCTTGGTAGTAGACCAGAGAGCTCTGCGCGATCCCAATTTGAGGCCAGATGTGTACGTAGCGGGACTACTAAGTGATGCATCGGAACAAGATATTGAGGACTACCAAACCAATCTAAGGAAGATGAAGAATCGTACTTCTACGGATTTACAGCAAAATGTGTACCAAAATCGAACGCAGTTCATCAAGATTAGTAAAGAGGCAGAAAAGCTCAAAGGGGAGATGCGCGCACTTCGAAATCTGATGGCGGAACTCAAAACAAATACCACTGCGCTCAGAACTACCTCTTCACAAGGTCCATCATCCTCGTCGACTGATTTTGACGGCTTTCCACCAACTCTGAGCAAAAGGGACAAGAGAAGTTCTGTTGCAGACCGAACTGCCATGTGGAACTCGCAGCTTCAAGTAGGTCCACGTTTTTCAAGTGTTAATTGGTAGGAGTACTAATTTTGCTAGGCTTTATGGAAGACCATTGAGGGCTCCCAAAAATTTCTACCTGCGGCCCCTGGTCGTCACGTGGTACAAAATGCCGGGCTTTGGATAGAGCTTGATAACGCTACTTGGAAATCTCGAAGAGCCATGCAGATTGTGCTGTTGAATGATCATCTTTTAGTTGCATCAAGAAAAAAGCGCAAGGTCGAGGGCGCTGATCAACGACAAGCGCCATCAAAGTTGGTGGCAGACAGATGCTGGCCACTATTAGACATTGAAATTGTTGACCTTGCAGGGACGAGTGAAGGGACTAGTGTGCGTAATAAGTTGGCCGATGCGATCATGATTAGAGGTGTAGGTCAGGAATCTTTCACCTATCGAACGGAAAAACCAGGTGACACGGAAAAGTCCTCTCTTATGATGAACTTTCGAAAGGCAGTAGAAGAGCTTCATAAAGGTCTCAGATCGGAAATGGAAACGAGCAACAAGGCCAAAGAAACGATTAACTACTTTGCTTCTCGTGACCCGGGATTGTTAAAAAAGACAGATTTACTTGAGACTCTTTCGGACATCAAAGATATGCTTATAGAAGTTGATGGCAAGCAGCAGAATCTGCGGTGGGTGGAAAGTCAGGTTGATGAGTTGGATATCGAAATCGCACTGCAGCATTTTGACATGGCAGTCCAACGAGTTGCAAAACTAAATTCCTTAGCCAAGGGTCTTAAAAGCAATATCGTGGCCCAGGACTTCATTAGTTTTAAAGCGGATGAAAGAGCCACCAGACTTGCAGAACTAATCACCCGTGAACTTGTTGATACACATAATGAACCGAAAAAGGTTAGACGCAATATCAGCTGGTTAACAAGTCTTGGCTTCGAGGATCGTGCAAGAGAAGCGTATCTTGAAGCTCGGGGGGAAATCATTCATAAGAGATCAAGGTATGATTCAATAACTTTTATTTGATCGACTTCACTAATTTGTACAAAAGACAATGTATATTCGAAGGCAATCTTCACCAATATATCTGGGAGGTATCATTCGTGTACTTCACAATAATACGGAATACTGTGTCAACCTTTCAAGCCTGCTTTCCACAGCCTCTTATGAGCGCATGTGTCAAATGGGCCAAAGAGCAGGTCGATGCGTTCAATGTTATTCTTGCACGACAGCTTAGCAGCACCGAGAAGAACGGTCAAGTATGGACTGATTGTATGGATCAGGCGAGAGAGCATGCAAAGATGCTCTCCGAAGTTGCTTTAGACTTTAGCAGTCTCATTGGTTCAACCCCGATAGATGTTCTCAATGGAGCCAGAGGCGTAGGGTTAGGCTTGGCGTAATGCTGTATCGAATGGGCAAACTGGTATACCTGTGAAAAACAATTTTAAAACTCGGCCAAAGGGATCTATACAGAATGTTCAAGAAATACTATCTACGTAGGTGTCTATCTACACTCCTACAGCAATTTAGTCATTGGATTTATGAATTTAAATAGATATTCACATCCCTTTCGCTGTTACTAATACTTAATCTTGCTTCCGTAATTCATTGATAAACAAAGTTGAGAAAATAAAGCTAATAAATATGACATCTGCATTGACGCATGCTCTCTTGCCTCTTCCAAATATAAATGCCAAATCCTCTCCATTGCGATCTTGAAATCTGCTTATTAAGCGAGGAGCTGTTCCTTTCAAATAATCTGCGCACCGCTTCTACAACCTGAAAGCCCCTCCACAAACATTTTTGCACGACGAACGCCCTGAAATCTTATGATAAAATTGCTTTTGCGATTCTCAACATAAGATACTAGTTGAAGTTGCGCGGACCGCTTCCCGGAAAGAACAACAAACTAAATAGCCCTTTTGACGACCAACCCGCGCGCTTGTCGTCACCAAGCTCGAGCAATTCAATATCGACAACCAAATCAACAACAAACCATCAAATTTATCATACGATAGAATGAACACAATGGATACAGATATGGCAGATGTAGGCAGGACGGTAGAGCCCACGGGATTATCTCCAGTAGCAGAACCTGCTTCAATACCAACTCTTGATGGGTGGATTGAGAACTTGATGGCGTGCAAGCAACTGGCCGAGGTCGACGTTCAGAGGCTTTGCGATAAGGTATTATTGTTTGCGAATCTTGTCATGTTCTCAGACTGCGTAGTATGAGCCAGCTAATCAAGAACGCGTTACCAGGCACGAGAAGTGTTGCAAGACGAGTCGAATGTACAGCCGGTGGTATGCTTGCCCTTTTCGTGTTGGAATTCAAAGAGCTGATCAACGATCTAGAAATGCCCTGTTACTGTCTGCGGAGATATTCATGGGCAATTCCATGATCTGATGGAGCTCTTCAGAATTGGTGGACCAAACCCAGATACCAATTATCTATTTATGGGTAAGCCTCCTATCCCTTACTGTCATTTCCTGGATTTACTGACACGTTATCATAGGTGATTATGTTGATCGAGGTTATTACTCAGTCGAAACTGTCACTCTTTTAGTCGCTCTAAAAATAAGATACCCCCAAAGAATCACCATCCTCCGTGGTAACCACGAATCCCGCCAGATCACTCAAGTTTATGGATTTTACGACGAGTGCCTCCGAAAATATGGAAATGCAAATGTTTGGAAGTACTTTACCGATCTCTTCGACTACCTTCCCCTCACCGCTCTCATCGACAACCAAATCTTTTGTCTCCACGGAGGTCTTTCCCCCAGCATTGACACGTTGGACAACATCAGAGCTCTTGATCGTATACAAGAAGTGCCACATGAAGGTCCTATGTGCGACTTGCTATGGTCGGATCCAGATGACAGATGCGGATGGGGAATATCCCCCAGAGGAGCAGGTTACACTTTCGGACAAGACATTTCGGAGGCGTTCAACCATAATAACGGATTGACCTTGGTCGCAAGGGCTCATCAATTGGTCATGGAGGGATATAATTGGTCTCAAGATAGAAACGTAGTGACGATCTTCTCAGGTATGCTACCTTTATCTCCTTCAGCGGTGTCTAATGCTAACCATAAGACAGCCCCCAATTACTGCTACAGATGTGGTAACCAAGCAGCGATCATGGAGATTGATGAGCACCTCAAATATACTTTGTAAGTAGCAACTTTATCCTCCTCGATCTCGCAGTGTCTAATATAACGCAGCCTACAATTTGATCCATGCCCAAGAGCTGGAGAGCCAATGGTATCACGTCGTAAGTACCCTACAAATTCAAATCTGTGTTGCATCTTTTGCTAACTATGGCGACAGGTACTCCTGATTACTTCCTCTAGATATACAGATGGAGCGGCTTAAGACGAAACACTTTGATATGCGATATTGCGTTACAATGGTTGGGACAGAAGCAATGATCATTCTGTTCTCTGTATGTGAGGTTCTATGGCATCCTTTGGGAATAGCATTCTAGTTGGCATTGCCTACGAATAATACATTGGTGGCCTAATCCGGAATTCATCCAACTTTTGTAGACTTGCATTAGACTACTTATTATACCAAAATGCAAAAAAGCAGTTGAGGATATTTTCTTTGAAGGGGGGTACCAGCGTCGTGAATATACATTCCTATTATTGTAATTTGATATGATACACTTGAATGCCAGTTCCTTACTTGTGATCATGATTATGATGATGAGGATGTCGTTATCTTCGACGGGTTCTCTTGTTTCCTTCCATAGACGAATCAAGGAATACCTTGCTTTGTCCAGATCTATTGTACAATCAATTATTTCGTGGAGTACTCACCATCAGTTTGAATTTGCTTGGTCATAAGTACCTAGTAGATATCTTAAAAAAACATCAGGTGTACAAATCAATTTACCTGAATAAGTATATATGCTCAGGAAATTGACTGTACGTATGAATCTACCTAGTCCTTTCGATTAGTATATCCTCATAAATTTATTATCGTGATTGCGTTATCTATCCATGAATATTATATACTAAGTATGTCTTCACAATACTTCCACCTAGATACTGAACTGATGCTCCAGCTGTACTTAACAGAACCCCACCATCCATTACACTGACGCCATTTCCGTCGATTTTGCCGCACTTGCCGCCTTAAGCCTTAGCTTTCGGGCTATTTCCATTCCAAGGTTCATGATACCAAACCAAAACCCCATCCTCGAGCCATTGTTGCCATTTGTTACATCAATCTTCAGTGTTCGCTAAGCCATCCAATCATCGACGACTGGTCTAAAGTCAGTAAATTTCCTGATGAGTCCACACTCCAAAGTTCTTCTCTATTGATACATTCACCACTTTTTGTTGACCACTTTGCGATACGAGCCATCGAGCTTTATCAATTTCCATCATGTCTTTACCACCTCAAGATCCTACCAGAAATTCATATCAACAACCAAATACACAACGTCACATATTCCCAGTTCAACAAAATCTTGGTCAACAAAACATTGCTTACCCAAGACCAACTTCAACTGGTATTCGCGGTCCACCAATTCAACAGCACAATTCTCCATACTCAACTCCATACGCCAATAAGCAACCAGTTCCGCCGAGACAAAATGGCAACAATGGAGTATCTGCAGAACAACAAATTGCTCAAGGTATTTTGAGTAATACTTCGAATGGTCAAACTGCTCAGCGACAGCCTCAGAGACAAAATGGACCACCTCCCATGGGTGCAGCAATTCACATGGCGCCTCAGCATACCCCGCAAAATCAATCCATGACCGTCACTCATGCCGTTCACCCAACTCCCCCATCTGCCATGAATCAATCTCGAGATTTCGCAACGCAGCAACGGCAATCACAATCCCCCGCGATGCAAGGACAGAGTCTTGGTGTTCAACGACCCCCGTCCATGAACCCCTCCCCCGCCAACTCAAACCTCGGATCTACGAGACCACAGGATTCACCGGTAAGCTCCACTCAGGATATGTCCATGATTGATCCACAGCTTGCGCTTGATCAACAATTGGACCCTAACGGTTCTCTTCTTTCTCCGGCGGACGAACATGATCAAACCGAAGCTCCGGAAGTGACTCCTGGTGAAATGTTATCTGCCCCACCAGGAGGTAGCTATCCAACTTTCGAGGCCCTTTTTGCAGCTGCGCAAGCACATGCTTTGACACATGGTTATGCGTTTGTCATTGGCAGATCTAAACGCGACAATAGAGGTCTGAAGAAAGTGTTCTTGATTTGTGATCGCGGCGGAACCAATAAGGAGAAGGTGCCCGGTGAACAGCGACAACGTAAGACCAAGTCGCGTAAATGTGGTTGCGAATTTGGAGTCTTTGGTCTCGAAAACAAAACTTCTTGGCTTCTACGAGGTCGAATTGATGGAGAGCATTTAACACACAATCATCCTCCGAGCGAAAGTCCCACCGAGCACCCGGGAGCTAGGAAATTAGATCCTAAAGCAATTGCTGCTGTAAAGGCTCTTGAGGAAAACGGTATATCATGTCCTGCACGCTCACATATATGAATGTATTGCTAACACTATTCTCAGGTGTCTCTGTAAAAGAAACCCTCGAAATTCTCCATCGTGACAACCCTACCATTCGCTTTCTTCCTCGTGACATCTACAATGCCCGAGCCGCCATTAAACGCGACCCTTCTCGTGTTGAACCCACAGCCATGGAGTCTCTTCCCACGTTTTACAAAAAGCCCCCCATGTCATTTGAAGAGAAACTCCGCGCCGAGCTTCGAACTGAGGTAGCGAATGCCCAAGCAGAAGTAGAGAAAATCAAGGCCGATTGGAAGCAAGAAGTAGAAGATTTGAAGGAACAGTTGAGGCAAAAGGATTTAGTAATTCACAAGTTTGAGCAATTCATCGATATCTGTAACGAGCGGGTAATGATTAGAAGGGACGAGTTGTCGGATCCCCCCGCCGGCGCAGAGCCAGGCGCAAACGCTATAGCAAATGCTATGGGAAATGCCATGGGAAACGCTATGGGTAGTACCATGGGTAGTAGCATGGGCAATACAATGGGCTAAATTGCTTCGGCCTTTATCTATTGATTAGATGAACGTACTGATGGCTGACTTACAGATGAATCTTAATGGACATGGATTAAGGAATGGAATGGACTATAGGGTAGGGGACAAGGGAGTTCCACTTGCTTTACTTTTCTTAAAGGCCGGTATAATTGGGTTTGTGGTTCTGGGAAAGGTACTATTATGGCTGTTTGGTGTCTGGGATTGGGAGGGAGGACGGATTTCTGCATTTTTTGTGTTATGATCTCTTATGATGGCTGGTATTCGATTTCGGTGTTCATGGCATGTTCATATATGAGATGAGACACAGATCTTCACTTATTAGGCGGCTGTCTTCAGCAGAGGATTTTTGGCACAAGGATTAAATGCGGGGGACACGGGATACATATTGTATTCGTTGTCCGTTAATAAAATTTATATCATCTAAAAGATTGGTCTTCTTGATGATTTTTGTGACTACTTGCGCGTAGGTATTATCAAAGACATTTCTTATCATTCATGCGCATATTTGAGGCTTGAAGATTGCTCACACGTGATTGCGGCTCAAGTAAATGAGGGGATAGTTAAAATAAAAAGATCAAAAAACGCAATATATTACAATTGGAACTCGAGAATAGATGAATATTACTCATATGTCATAAAGTTTTGAATAAAAAACAAATAGTCTTTGACAATTTTGGTAGACATACATAGCTATATATCTAGGTAGGTAAGCATATAAGAAACGGGTTTGTTCCAACTTATTCGAGACTCAAGCATTGCTCCCGGTGAGTGCCCAGTGAGCATTTACAAAAGATGCATTGCGAATTCCCATTCTTTTAGTGGTGGCGTGGGCAACGCTAGTATAGCAGCGGCCGCATCATGCCCCACGATTTTGACTTCCCCTCCAAAATTTTGAAAGTTTATTGTAAATCCGCGCAATATCGACATTATATAGAAATGGCTTACGATAGCTGGATTTCGAGGCCAATCTGGTCTTATGACATCGATGGTAAGTTATTCGCTTTCCCATGTGCATTGAGAAAATACTAATACATCTACAATGTAGATATCGTCGCATTATGGCATCTTTATCGCATTCCAATTATTCTTACGACGGCCACGATCCTCATACTCGTCAGGGTAACCCTTCGTCCGCGAGCATTGAGGGAGAAACTATCTGCATCGCCTTTGCCCGCATCACCGGTTTTACCTGCAGTGAAAGAAAAGATATCACCACCTGTATTTGACGAAAAGAAAGCCAATGGCGTCAAAGCCCCACGAAGAATAGTCGGAGGCATTAAAAAGCGCAAATCTTCCGAGGAAAACCTGCAGACTGGCCCCGAAAAGATTCAACCACTCGTTTTCTTTTCATCATTGACTGGCACGACAGAAAAGACCGCAAATTCTTTCGTGGAGAGCATTAGAGGCGATCTCTCTGGACGTGCCGATGGGCAAAGAATTCAATTTCTCGAATCTCAACTACTCGACCTGTCATATATTGACTATGATGACTACTTCATTAACCCACCAAAGGGCGAATCTGGAGTTAGTTACTTTTATCTAGTACTTATTCCCAGTTATAATATCGATACTGTGTTGGACAATTTCCTGGAACATTTACAAGAAACACATAATGATTTTAGAATCGATACAGCGCCATTGTCGCCCTTGGTAGGGTATTCAGTGTTTGGGTTTGGGGATAGAGAGGGTTGGCCAACGGAGGAAGAAGGATTCTGCTCGCAGGCTAAGGACGTGGATAAATGGTTAGCGAAATTGACGGGAAGAAAGAGAGCGTTCCCTCTGGGAATGGGCGATGCAAAGACGGACGCAAAAGAAAGGTTGGCGGAATGGAAAGAAGGAGTGTTAGACGTGCTGGAACATATTGCAAAGACTGGAAGTCTAGGCGAAGGGGTCGTCGGAAGTGGAGATGCGGTAGAAAGTGACGTGGAGGATATTGAGGATGACGATGATGGGGAAGTTCTTTTTGATGAACAAAATGTTGCTTCGAGAAAAGCCAAGACGCAGAAGAAAGATGACAGTCTGAACGATTTAGAGGATATTGGAGGCGTTCTGAATAATACAGAAACCATAGACAATACTACTGGTGAAGAACCGGAAGAACTCGAGATAGACTTCACGACAGTCGGATTGAAGAAGGGCAAGGCCAAGACAACTCCAGTTGTCGCTAAGGAGATGGTTCCAACAACTTCACCTACATATGCAGCTTTAACAAAGCAAGGCTACTCAATTGTAGGGTCACACTCAGGGGTCAAGATTTGTAGGTGGACAAAATCGGCTTTGCGAGGCAGAGGCTCTTGTTATAAATATTCATTTTATGGCATCGCATCTCATCAATGTATGGAGACTACGCCATCATTGTCATGTTCTAACAAATGTGTTTTCTGCTGGAGACACGGTACTAACCCCGTTGGAACCACCTGGAGATGGAAGGTAGACCCGCCCGAAATGATCTTCGACGGTGTCAAGGCTGGACACTACAAGAAAATCAAGATGATGAGAGGTGTTCCTGGTGTCCGAGCCGAACGTTTTGCGGAAGCAATGCGCATTCGTCACTGTGCTCTAAGTTTAGTCGGCGAACCAATTTTCTACCCTCACATTAACGAGTTCACGAGCATGCTCCATAAAGAACACATCTCCACCTTCCTTGTTTGCAATGCACAGCATCCAGATCAACTCGCCACCCTTCAGCCCGTCACTCAACTCTACGTTAGTATCGACGCTTCAAACAAAGATTCTCTCCGTAAAATCGACAGACCCCTCCATCGAGATTTCTGGGAACGTTTCCAGCGCTGTCTCGAAATTCTTCGTGAGCGTCGCTTTGAACAGCGTACCGTATTCCGTCTTACGCTCGTCAAAGGTTTCAATATCGAAGATGAAGCGGAAGGTTATGCCGACCTTGTCGAAAAAGGATTGCCTTGTTTCGTGGAAGTCAAAGGAGTCACATATTGCGGAACATCGTCTTCCGCTGGCGCAGGACTCACAATGCAAAATGTACCATTCTATGAAGAGGTTTGCGCTTTTGTCGAAGCTCTTACCGCATCCCTCAAGAGGAGAGGATTAGGGTATGGTATTGCAGCAGAACATGCTCACAGTTGTTGTATCTTGATTGCATCTGATAGATTCAACATTGCGGGTAAATGGCATACGAGGATTGACTACAAGAAGTTTTTCGAGTGCCTAGAGAGTGGAGAGAAGTTTGGCCCAGAGGATTATGTGGGTGCCGAGACTCCAGAATGGGCAACGTGGGGACAAGGTGGATTTGATCCAAGGGATGAGAGAGTATATAGGAAAGGAAAGAATAAGGTTCCCTTGCCGGAAAGCCAAGGCATGGTTATGGGAGAGGTTCAAGATGGTGGTGAGGATAAGGTTGCTGAGGACAACACCAAGGATGACCTTGCTTTCTAGGCAGTGCCAAGCAATAAATATTGATATTAAGACAAAAATACCCCCACCCAATGTACCATTATTTTCTTACGTCATTTAAATACTACCTTTCTTTTTCAAGACAATCATATGCGCTTTATCACATCCCTTTCGATAATCCTTTAACTCTACACTAACAATCTCCAAAATTCCTTCTACCTCCAATTTCTCAATCTCAGCTTTATAACCCTCCGATTCCCAAGCCTCCTCGAGAACAGTAGCAATAATGAGGCCACTTGGAATAAGTATCCGAGTAAATTCCTTTAACGCAGGATCAGGACCAACATGTCCATGGGTAAATGTCCCAGCACAAGTCACCAAATCATACGTTCCATCCGGCACCTCGATCTTCTGCAACAAGTCTCCTACAAGAAGATTGCGATAACAGCCCGTTAGGCGTGCTTGAGCGAGCATAGCGGGCGAAAAATCAAGTCCATCAATGACCATAGCACCGCTTTCTGCAAGCGCAACCCCCACGAGCCCGGTGCCACATCCGGCATCGAGAATGCGGAGGGTGGGATAGTGAGGAGATTGGCGGGCGATCTGCGCGATGAGAATGGGGGCAACGTAATTTTGGAGCGCGACGATGTGCGTGTTGTAGGTGGAGGCCCATTGGGCATAGAAGGCTTGGAGATCGGAGGGGGGAAGATTACTGCGGGCCTGGGCGATGAGTTGGTTGGCTGGGATCATGGTTGTGTTGATTTGGAGGTGGTGTTTGGAGCGCGGTGGGAATGTGTTTTGAGACGGAGGGTGAAAGGGGAGAGGTGATGTGAGGGTTGGAGATGACTTGTTTTGGCCCTCATGAGAGAATTATGTTGGGATATTGGACAGGTAACTTTCACCTTAACCCCGCACATTAGGTAGCACCAGGTCGGACAATCGATGTTATACATTCCAACTAATCATGAGATTTCAGCTAGACAATGAAGAATAGTAGTACAGAATAAGATTACCTGAGAGATCAGTTGCACGAAAACCCCCGTAATCCTAAAAATACTCCTTTTCTGTAACTTGAGAAGTTCCAAGATGTAAGATTATATTATTCAACTCATCAACTATAATATCAAGTTTTACTTCATACATCAATAGAAAAGATGAATCTGAAGTATTTAGAGAAATTATTCTTATTTATTCTTCGTTTTAAATTGGATTGAACAGGTAAATGAGAAAGTCATCAAAGTCAGCTTAAGAAAGTCTCGTCAAGACGTTCGCTTCTTGAGTCATCACAAAATAGATTTCTTTTTTTCTCTCAACCTATTGCGCATTTGAAAGATGGGGAGAGGGAAAAGGAACTGGAATGCGGGAATTGGGAATTGTTTTTTTAATCTACTTCCTTCCCTCTCCCTTATGTACTCTCCCATTAATGACAATCACATTCAACTTCTCCTGGTCCTGCAAAATCGTGATATCCTCCAAAGGATTTCCATCAACCAAGATACAATCGGCATAGAACTCCTCTTGAATCTTCCCTAACTCATGTTCTCTCATGAAAAGCTTAGCCACTCCTGCAGTAGCAGCAATGATAGCTTCCATAGGAGTAAACCCGAGAAGATTTACGAAATGAGCGAGATCTCGTGCGTATGTTCCATGAGGTGTCCACGCAAATCCATAATCACCTCCAGGAAGAACCACGATTCCTCGTTTGTGCATTTCTCGGAGACCGTGGATGGCAGCTTCGAGTTCCTTTCGATAACCTACTTGTGAGGCTTTCTCATGCGAGTATCCAAATTCGCTGGCGTCATTTACTGTTCCCCTTTTCAGTTGGAATCTATACAATGAGAATCAATAGAAAACTTACAAGTTGCAATCAGCCAATTTATCCCAGGTGCAACGATGTGTTTATCTTTTTTCGCTTCAAGCATATCCATACCTTCTTCGTCAATATAGGATGCGTGATATAACACGTCAACGCCATGTTTCACGCACATTTTTACAGAATCTCGAGCTCGTGCGTGCGCACAGAGTCTTCGTCCGAGATTATGTGCTTCTTCTACACATGCTGCTGTTTCTTCGTCGGAGAAGTAACAATCTTGAGCTGATCTATTTTCTGTGATCTCATAATTCCCATTAGTTTGAGGGTTGATAAGAAACAGAGGCGGACTAACCTCTTCCCCGCTCATACTCAGCTTGATCTGATCGACGCCAAGACGAACGTGCTTTTTAATAACTTCCCTCATTTCATCTGGACCATCAGCATACGCTGTGATACCTGGAACTAAATCTCCATCTCTCCTCGCTATCTCCATACCATTGGCTAGGTACCGAGGTCCGGGGCTATCTCCCGCGTTAATAGCATCGCGGATGGCCACATCTAGATCGTCTTTTGCGGATGCCGCTCCAAAACACCTTCATGTTCCTCAGTTGATTAGATTTCTTATATAAAAGATCCACCGCAAGATTAAATGAAGACACACATACATAGTATACCCTGAATCCAAATAACACTTCGCACTCTTGGCCGTAAGGAGCATATGATCCTCCCATGCCAGTTCCCCAAGCGCATTCAAATCTCCCCCGTTCCATGTGAGATGTGTATGAGCATCCCCTAGTCCGCTCATTAATGTGCGACCCCTCCCTTCGAATATCTGCACATGTGGGTCCTCGAGTAACTTTTCTCGCTCAAGGTTGGAGAGAGAACCCACGAAGCTGATTCGTTCACCACATATCAATACATCACCGGGAAATGGATCACGACCGGTAGAGTCGAGAATGGTGATGTTGAGGAAGAGAAGTTTGGAGGTGGGAGAGGTGCCCAGGATTGAGTATGGGATGGGGAGGAGAGAGAAGTGGAAGTTTAAAGAGGCAATGGGGTCCATATTGCGAGGAGTAATGCTGGAAGGCGGAGAGATGGTGGATAGGGTTTCCATGACGGATGGATAAGCAACTCGCAACAGAATGCTGGTTCTCTGAGTAGAATGGGAATTACTGCTGATGCTGGTGATAGTATGTCGAGAGCTATCAAGCCTAGCCCTATTCAGACATATACATCACGAAGCAATAGCTCCAAATCATTCTTCGCACTTCCAGCATATGTTTCTTCTAAATCCCATCAATTTGCATTGTGGCCTCTCATCTTCATACCAAATTGCCGTAGGCTACCTACGTAACACTTGTCTGACAGGGTTCTCCGCATCTTCGACTTGAAGCTGCATAAGCGTGCCAGAAGATCACCTGAAGTGTACTTATTCTAAGTCTTCTTCGTATGTCTCAATATGAACGAAAATTTTCGCTCTATTTTATTGAAGACTATATCTTCGAAGAACCGATCAGCACGAGGTAAGAAGACCTGCTAAGGATAGAGGACGCTATCGCTCCCATTATTTTCTTGCATTTAGACGAATGGATTCATCAAACCTCTTGGTGGTGCTGATTACAGTCCGCAATGGGAAAAGAAGAAGATTTTCATAAGATCAAAAAGAACAAACAAAACAAGTAAGTGCGTGATATAATATATCTTCTGGTTGACGAGGACAAGCTGGTCCCAGATCATTGAGCATGTTGCTTGATTGCTGGGAAGAGTTGTGTGACAAGGGGTGGGGTTTTGAAGGATGTTGTTATTATCACATGTAATATGGGACAACAGCTTCTTGTCTATGGCGATGATTGCCAAAATGCTAATATTCAACAGGCAACAAAATGGAAGCCTAGTGATAAGACTCAACTATTAAGAGTACCTTACGAATACCAATGCGTATCTCGCAACTACTCTTTCCTTACCCCACTCTAGGAATACATCTATAAACGGACTCCCATCGGTATCTTCCTTGACAAATTAACACAAAATCCCAAAATCCAGTATGAAGTCATTAGATTCTTCAAAGCTTTTCACAGAAGATTGGATAATAACTGTTCCATCTCATCCCCACCTCCGCTTCATTCGTCTAATCCCCAGCCGCTACGACCATCTAGTCCGCATTTTCAGCAACCCCTTAAACGACCCCAACAACCGTACTCCAGACGATACCAGCTGGAAAGAATCCGATTCTGTTGATCTAATAAAAACCTACACTCAGCGCTTTTCCACTTCCAAAACCTCACATAATGCCCTAGCACTCCTAGTAGAGGAAAATGGCAAAATTGTAGGCATAGGACTCATGCATGAATTTGAACATCAACCCCGCTTCGCGAATATCGGGACGATTCTTGAGGAAGCGGGTAGGGGTCATGGGATTGGCAAGATTTTGATGGAGCTACTTTTGAGGTTGAGTTGTGAGTTGAATGTAGATGTTTTGGAGGCGGGTACGATGAAGAAGAATGCGGCGATGAGGGGGTTGATGAGGAGTCTGAGGATTGAGGAGGTAGAGGAGGAGAAAATCATGCCGGGGAATAGAAAGGTTGCCGAAATTATGTTTAAGGGTATTGAGAGGCAGAGGTGGAGAGATTTTGAGATTCAAGTTGAGTTTTTGGGAGAGGTGAATTGATCGTGAATCAGACCATGGTGGTCAAATCACTTGCTTGATACATGTATTTTATAGGATTTTAGTTGAGTTGAATGTGAATTTGGACAAAGAATGTAGTAGCCTGTTACTTTGTCACCTCCCTTAGCTCCCCAGTTTGACTCGTAGTACTCTCTCCTTCTCTCCTGAAATCTACAAGGCACCTGCACATGTACGACTTCTTATCCTGCAATCGGCATCTTGAAGTTCATTCATTACTCCGATGGTTTAGATTCGTCTCCTTTCGCGACTTCTTCAGCTGGCGAAATCGAGTTCTTCCACAATGAAAGCATTGCTTGGGAATGAAGTCTTGTACCCAAACACTCTTTCCGCAACCTGAAGTGCCGGAGCATTTGTATTCTTTTCCGGATCTCTCCATATTGATATTAGGTCCTAAATTGAAGGTGTTGAAGTTTCGTGATGATATATGTGGAATGGGTGGTTAAATTCGTTTGAATACTCTTGAAGATCGATTTCGGGTGATTAATAGAGTTATGCGCTGGAGTTAATACTTGTGACTGATATTGTAAAGGTGAAACAGAATGGTGAGAAGTAGGAGACTAAATAGAAGTCTAATTAGAAGCTGAGACGGCGGATGCGGTGGTTAATTCCAATGCAATGCTAGACTGGGCTGTGAATAGCGTGCTCATGATATTAATCTTGTGGCTGTACTAGAGCTAATCAAACTTATAGATCAGTGAATGGTGGTATGAAATGCGTATCAAGATGGCTATTCTGTACGGCTGTACCATATGAACAGAGATTAAACCTCCGACAATCTTGCCAATTTACCCCAAAAGGCTAACTGCTATGGCTGTACGATATTTGGTATAATAACAAACCCGTACCGGTCCAGCTAATTTGGATCTTGATGCAGCAAAATCCGGCCCGTCATAATAGTTTCGGGTAGTAACTCCGCCCACTCGCCCATCCGTACATGGCGAATAGATGATCCGGTATTTGCTATAACTCTATTTTTTTTTGGACCAGCTTGGCAAACATCCATACCCATCAGGATCTCCATTGACGATGATCCGGGGACCGAAACTGGGTCGATCGCGCGGATATTGTCAAGCTTCGGGTACCCAGTACTATTTGGACCCTTCTTCGCTAGACTTCGATAACGTTAGGTCGGTAAGATTAGCATCCTCCTCGCATGTACTACATGCAGCAGCGTTTTTCGAATCATCCTATTATCAAGACCATGACACATACAGACAGCATTTGTAGAGCCGTCTACTAATCGCGTGGAGAATGTAATGCAAAGTCTTCGTTGAAGTCCGTCCACTTTAGGACTCTCAACTCCGCAGACCGTCGTCGTCTACTAATTGCGCGAACAATCTAACGCAAAATCTTCTTTGAGGTCCGTTCGCTATAACACTCTTAGCTCCGTAGACCTTGGGCTAGATTGAATATAAATGTCCACGACGCCCCAACTAGCCCCAACGGCCCCCCTTCATCGTGAAGCTATGACAGTCTCCACAATCCCCAGCTGTGGGTGCCATTTGTCACAAATTCGGGCCGATTCTTGTGATGTGTCCAGAGTATTGGTAGACTAACAGGCGGGACCGACCGAGTTGATGGATTAAATGGGGTACGATGAATACGGAGTTAAAGTTCATATGGGGCGATTGCTTCAATCGTTTTCCAATGTGCGGTGACCGTTATCATGTCCCTGCGGGGCAGCCACCACGCTTTGATCTGGCCATTCTATTGAAAAATCAGACAACATTTTCAGCTTCATATGCGACTTTGTGGGAACTTAACGAAATAGGCGGTATTCAAGTGGAATCTGGGTTATTGAGGGAATTTAGTTTGAGACTTGGGAGAGGGCTAAGTGACATCTGATAATCATGTGTTCAAGCGAACCGTTTAGGGACTTCAAGACTCAATCATAAAACATTAAAATTTTCATATACCCGGTCCTTCCAAAGCTATTCTGTGACGTAAGAGAATATATCCAAAATTCAATCAGCGCCATAATTTTCCTGCTCCCATAACCGTAAGATTTAACATAACTCATATCGCTGACATAACTTTCCAAAGGCATTACTTCATAGAGGCACATTATACCCCTTAAACTTTCGCGCCGGTATTCCTTGCTCAAACAACCAATCCAGCTCATCAAATTTCCTCCCGTTAGTTTCTGGAACTCTTAGCCAAACCCATAACGTTCCCAAGGTTGATGTCCCAGCAAAAATGAACCCAATTTTTCCTCTCAGATTTGCTGAGTCTGGGTTTATTAAGAGTGGAATAGCAATATTCATGACAATACCAAACACACTCTGTACCACTATCCCCAATCCAACTGTCCTTGAACGCAATGAAGAAGAAGGAATTTCAGCAAAGAGTGCCCATCCCATTGGTCCAATAGTCGAGAGGTAGATAAACGAGAAAATGATTACACAAGCTACTTGACCATAAGCTGGTCCTTTGCTGGAATAATTAGGTAGGATATCCAATATACCAATGAGCAAGAGCAAGAATGTCAACATGGCTGTTCCGACAAAAGATGTAGAACGACGTCCACATCTATTGATAAGAAACCATGAACAAATGACACCCATTAATCCCAAAATCGTAACTCCAACTGATAATGTAAATGCATTAGAGTCAGACATGCCAGCAAGTTCAAAGAAGTAACTCGAATATCCAACAGAGAAAACGACACCAGTAAGCTGTGCGACGGCGAAAATACCCATCGAGATTTCGGTACGACGGAGGTTGGAGCCTCGGAAACAATCAAGATAGGTGGTTTCGGAAGAATTCTTGGACTCTGTTGAAATTATTGTTGTCATCTCTTCTGCGGTGTCAAGAGGAGATTGATAGCCTAATCGAGCGAGAGTGGAGGTTGTGTTGTCCATGTGGGAATGACGGAGCAGATACCAAGGTGATTCAGGGGCAAATGGGAGACCGAGAAGAATGATTGTTGGAAATATGAATTGGAGAGCAAAAGGGATTTTGTAAGCATTCGCTGAGGCAAATGTTCCCGTGCCCTTAAGGACGAGATTGCCCGTGAGTTGACCGATAGAAATAAGTAGTTGAACTCCAGAGGTGGTTAGGCCTCGTATAGTCGCAGGGCATATTTCGGCAGCATAGCTTGACGGAATGGTGAGAAACGCACCCAAGGCAAGACCGTTGATAAGCTTTGATATGTTAATTCAATCCAGAGTTATAAAGGGGTAATCGATCTTACCTTGCCTACGAGTAAAACCACTGACGACCGAGCGAACACTTGCAAGAACACCCCAATGATGCTCAATATGCACCCTACTCCCATCATCAACCGCTTCCCAAATCTATCGGTAAGATATCCGGTGGCAATGGCTCCGAATAATTGGCCAACGTAGGAAGCAGAATTGAAACCCGTTTGCCATTTTGAACTAATTATGTATGTGCCTTTGTAATTATATCCAAAATCACGCTCGAAAGAAGCAATTGATATTGCACCACCAGATATCTATGAATACTGTTTAGCCATCAATCGTGTATGTTGAATCTCAAGCGTCTACTAACCTGAATATCCATGCCCCAGTTGACAGCTGCCAAGGCAAAAAATCCGGACCAAAACACCGCTACTTTGTGTCTCATCACCATCTGCCATGTCGAAAGTTTTTCTGGTCCCTCTTGAGTTTCCAAACTCGCGATCTGAGTAACCGGCTCCTCGGAAACAAGAACTACTTGTGTGTCCTTCATTATCGTAGATTCATTAAGTCGTGCTCGAGAAGAAAAAAAAAGTGGTCGTGATCAGTTCATTTCCTGGGGATTGCCTATGAAGATATTATACGAATGCTGATCTTTATGTGGGAGCCGTGCTTAATGATGTAAAATCTGGGGAAATCCCGGAATAAAGTATATTCCACCTTTTATAGTCAAGAGCATTAGGGGATTAAAACTCAAAATGAGGATTACTTATCGACTAGAACTAATGTTGTTGTCAAGAGGCTGGGGTTTCTACAAAAGCCGGTGAAGGTCGCCCCTTGACTTTACATTCTTAGGAAAGGGGTCAGACACCTTTTGTTGAATTTGATTTGTTATGGATGTTGGGCTTGCTGCATGAAGGTTGACATAAAAACTAAATTCTAAATAAGTGGCCGCACTCTGGGGCTAGAAGGCTTCGAACTCTCAGACCGCGACAGCTAGACGTTGACATTGTTCCATAAAAACTCTGAAAAGTGGACCAACCAATGAAATGCCTCAAACTATTCCCAAATCTCTTTCGAAAATTTCAACTTCCTTGTAACAATTGTTGACAATGATTCAGGCTTGAACACTCAAATGCAAATAAACGTGGCTTTGGACGCCGAAGAGTTTGGATGATAAGTTGATAACGGGAAACTTCGCTAAAAATCAGAAGTGCGGAAAGAACTATATGACCCCTGCAAATATCAGAAGAATGAGTCTCCCCAATTCCTTTTTTTCTATTTCCCAATAATCTTGTGCAGACTTCATTAGATCTTGCTGGTCGAGACATGGTATTGTAGCAATGAATCGTTTAATAGTATCAACATCGTGACCGCTCATTAACACAACCGCTCGTAGCAAGATCAATACTCCGGCACCTCCTAGAACATGTGAAATCATCGGTGTAAGCCAATATGCTGTTTTGATGAATTCATAAAATAGTAACCCATCGTAGGCACCAAGTCTCCGATCTTCTAGCAATATGTCACTTATTGCCTGGAGTAGGTGCAAAATTTGTTCCGCCGCGAAACTTTCCATTTGCAGGTCTCCCAGCAAGCCATAATGGTGCATATCATCAATGCGAGAAAATAGAGGATTTTCTATATCGCCGAATGAGACCCCGAATGGATTTGGACAACATTGCGTTTGTTCCGAGCTGCTTATCACTGCGCAAATCCATTGCCCAGCCTCTGAAAGCTTTTCACGATCATCAAAATGTTCGAATGTATCACCAAATATTTTCATAAAATCGATTCTCGGATTGCCTCTTTCACGAGCTTGATGGTGAATACCCGGTAGATTGCGTTCAAGTGCAATTGACCGCATCTGTACATCACTTCCATTTGGAAAGCTAAGGACTACGGGAGGTGAAGTCCTTCCAATATGCTTGACGGGGCCCTTGTGATGTAAAGGGGGAATTGGCAGATAATTCGGGGCGTAATGACGATTATTCCGTAACCCAGCTGTGATAATTCCATGATAAGGAGCCATTTGAAAGACTCGGCATTGGCTTGATTCCTGAAAGGTTATTTTTCCGAAGATGAGGAAGAGGGATTGGATGGACGGGGAAGCAGGAACACTTTGAATAAACTTGTATTCACAACAAAGAGTGTTTGATTATGTTATGCGAAACAATGGAGGCAATCAGACACAACGAGTTGATTAGAGTTCGAAGAGATGTCCATGAGCTTAATATAAACAAACTTTGGTTCAAAACCTTCATACAAGCCACTACAATCACTCTCGGGTTCAAGTCACACAAGTGCAACTTCCAAGGTGCAAGAAACACAAAACGTAAAGCGACTCAGTATGAGTGGCTTGAGTTGATAGTTCAAACCTCTAGTATTGAAGTGATCTGCCTTATCGTGCTACGCAAACATCAAAAAAACGCCCAGATACTATGTCGCTTGATTGCGGATATGAGATATGAGGCGGAATGCATATGATAACATATGATAATGGTGGTGGATGAGAATGGGACACTTGACCAGCAATCACAGCACAGTGTAATATTTCGTGTATGCAGAAGTAGGCTGATAAGGAGGTCATGTTCTAGGAAATTCCGAGGTAGCTGCGCTTCGGGCGATAGGATAAGTTTTGAGGGACATTGCCTATCGAATCAATTAGAGTATCGGGAAGCAAATGTGACAGCAGCAAGTAAGTTTAACTGCGATAACAGTTTCGCCGAGAGCTTTACTTGTTTGGCCATTAGTATGTATGGTCCTGAAACATGAGTCCAAAAGATCATCAACTCTGATGTTTGTTCAAGTTGAAGAATTATTACTGAGGTATGAGAAAGGACTCAGTCAAGAAAGAATTGACTGACTAAGCAGACATGCATAGAGGGATCTTGATCACGTGTGTGTGAACCTCTTATTCAATTCTTATTATTCACATTCATTTATTACTTCCAGTAACATTTGGAAGGCAGATCAATGCTATTCATCTACAAGATTATGTATCGGAGTATAGTTATCACTTATCAAAATTCTGGTCTATCAGCGCTTTTTGTAACAGGAAGTAGTTTTTGGTTACCACATATCGAATTGGGCCTGTGGAGTGGAAGTTCACTCAACTCCCATCAGCATGAAGATGCGTAAATATCAATGAGAGATCTACCATGGTCGTTGGTTGCTCACAAGATGTTTTGTATCCCAAACTTGATCTTTTGCTCCATCTTTCACGGCGATATATACCTATAAGATCTTCGTGCAGGCTATGAAGTGACAACTTCTGACGTCAGTGTTACCGAAATTGTCCAGCAAATACACGTCCTTATCATAGGTCTAAATAAACTGGGCAACCGAGGTCATATTTAGCATATTACACACTATTATCTGTGTCTAGTCTAGGAATTTTATGTGTCATGATCCCGATGTTTCGGCAGTGGCTGTTGGAAGAGCTTGCCATTCCATGCTATCGCTCACCTTCAATGTTTAGGTTGGGTTTAAAGAATGCTTTAATCTCCTCACAATTTATCTTTTGCTTCTTGATTCATCCAGAAGTGTGTATCTTCAAACATGTTGCTTGCCGACCAGAAGTTTCCCGGCGGGTTACCAGTGCCACAGCTCACAATTGAGGGCATCGAAATATGCTGACTGCTCTCCATCTTTCGAATATCATCTCAAGCGTTAAAGTGAACCAAGATCTGGAGGTGTTTCATTCATAAGTACATAAGTACTTACTGAATAGTATAAAAAGATGCTGAATTTGAGACATGTATGTTGGGCTGGGACTTTATCAACATTGTTTGCAAACTTCACAACAAAAATATTCGAGAGCTCTCTTGGATTTTCATACATCTTCCTACCAATTCCGGAATCCCGAGGATCTTCACCTCTCGTAGCCTGCTATGCTCCTACCCGAACCCCTTGCCAATTTTCAGTCTCCGACCAATCACAAGTCAAGATTGCCAACTCCCAAAAGCAACAACAATATAGATAGGCACCAAGAATTGATAGTTGCCTAGCCTAAGGCTTTATACCTCTCACTTCAAACACTTCCCCTCACATCCAGAACCAACTCGGTGACTTCGAATGATTCTCAACAACTCTCAGTAAATCCTTCGATCATCAGGAGCTCGAGAAATATCGGGAGGTCTCTTTCCTTTATTTTTCCTTGAATCTGACTTACCAGTGCCTTTCTACTGAACTTCAACATATCTACTTAAACTCTGATTTGCCAAAACTGACGGTAGAACCGAAAACCACTAATACCTAAGTACCTGACAAAAGCCGAAAAACACGGCATACCACGCAAAGTTTCCAACAAGTCCTCAAATCTCATACCTCTCAACATGTCTTCTGAGTCCGACAGTATCTCTGTCAATTTCAGAGCTGAAAGTTCCCCGATGCGCCCTACTACACACGAAGTTTTGGTAGACGGATTAGATGTAAGTTTGTGTTTTTCACCCCCAATTCTTGCAACAAACATCCTCTCGATAATCTTCTGGTCAGCATATCCCATGATTTGGAAAATTAGAAACTCTGTTTATGGATCAACTTTAACTTCGATGACCGTCGTTGCCAAACTCAGCCAAGCTGGATACCGTTAGATTGCATTCTTTCCAGTCTTCCTCCCCACTTCATATCCTAAAAAAAAATGATCTCAGAATTGACTCATTATACTCTAGACCCCCTCACCCAAAAGGTCATCGCCAAGCAAATCTTCAAAGAATAAGACCGCCACACCGAAGAAACAAAAAACGGCAGACAAAATGATCAAAGTTCCGACCGTTTATAAGGATGAAGATGCTTCTGATGACGATAATCCAGGCCATGAGAATGAACTCAGCTCACCAAAGGCCGGCACTACTCATGGAAAGACTCTATCTACGGCGAAGTCTGTCACTAATAATAAGGATGGTGGTGATCATAATAACGATGATGATGATGATGCTGAGGAAATCGTTACGAAGAAACCCGCAGCTGCTCCCAAGTCCAAGTCTTCTACCACCAACAAGCTAAATGTCAATCTCGAGGAGAAAGCCAAACAATCAGATGAAGTAACTCCAAATGTCTCCGATGCTGACACCAAAAAGGCTGCACCAACTACTCAGTCCAGAAAGAGACGTGCGGCTGCTACTTCCACGAACGGTGGAGCTCGCAAGAAAGCCAAGTTGCCAGCAAATGCTTACAATCCCGATTGTTATACCCAATTGAATAGGGAAGACAAGTTGTTGTTTGATCTCAAAACTAATAACCCAGAGGCTCCATGGAAGGAACTCATTGTTCAGTTTAACCTGGAAATGCAGGGTAAACCTGAACTCAAAGCTGATGCACTTAGAATGAGATGGCCAAGAGTCAAGGCTGCAGCGACCGAGATCGAACATGCTGATGTATGCTGGCAATCGGTTCCCTATCAATTATATTTCCCTAACATCTTGTGATTGCTAACTTCTCACACCAGATCCAAAAGATGTGTATCTCAAAGCAAGATATGGAAGACCAACTTGAGAATACGAGAGATGAGCTCTTGGCAAAATTTGAAAGAGAGAGAGAAGCTGTGTTGCGAAAATTCAAGACAGAAATGTGGACCGAAATTGCTAAAAACGTTGGCCAAAACGGTGGTAACGATTATGAACCAGCTGTTCTGCAAAGAAAGTACGAACTCTATAAGCGCCAGGGTCGTATCGATGACAACGATAAATACTTGGCATGGACTGAGGAAGATGAGAATAGCGTGAAAGCAGAAGCTCAGGATAACGAGGAAGAAGACGCCAACAAAGAAGAAGATGATGACAACGAAGATGACGAAGAAGACGACGAAGAACAAGCCGGCGCCCAAGAGGATGCAAATGGTGAAGATGAGATCGAAGTTGACATCAAAGGAGAAGACAGCAACATGTCTGAAGCCGATGCTTGAATGATACTCAGCATCTCGACCACTAGCACCTGAGGGTGTCAGACTCCGTATTGGAGAGTTGTTCTCTTATGTGAGTATATTTCGCGGTAGGGAAACCCTTAGTATCGCTAACGATTAAGAAAGCAGAGCTAATCACTTATTTTCGTTGCCATCGAGATCTTACAGTTCAACCTTCTCTGCTTCTTCTCAAGTTTGCTCTAGTCGTTTATCGGCTGGGAAGTACACGGTTTATGATGCCTTCACTACTTTTTTGTTCTTTGGAAAGCATGGGAAACTTCGTGGGATCTGTGCTATTTTTTACTTCGATACTGGTTGCGTTCATTTTAATTGGGATGCGCGGATAATGATGTGACGCAGAATGGAAGAGAATGATACACACTGTGGGTAGGCGGAAAGCATTAGCTGTGATTCAAACTTCATCAAATTGCCATAGCACAAATGAATTTGTTTCAGTCTACCAATCGAAATTAATGTCTTGATTCTCACATATTATTGACTTGCCATAGTGATATGTCTCCATCGCATTCAATATATTTAAGATGATAGATGACCCAAGCTTATCTCGTCTCCCTCCGAGGTAGAGTGGCCATACCTTATCTAGATGCCATATTACAATGACATCTATCCCGTCTCATCATCACACCCAATTTTTTGGACCATAGTATCATCTCACATATTCCGACATACCACCTCATATTGAATGAAGGCTCATAAATTGGGCAAACCATGATTCATTTGGAGAAAATGCCGATATCAACAATATATCATCCCCGATAGCGGGAATCAATTTTCAACGCCATCTTGACTCATAACATAAGAGTTCGGGACCAGTTGAATACTGATCAATGCGTGGCGATCCGCTCAACTTTAGGCCCATGGCCAATATACAATCCGAAGCAGGCCATGCAAAGGACTTTCTGTCATATCAACACATTACATCTGAGAATGAACTCATAAATGCATATTCCCCATCCTCTCTATCACACCGACCGAAAAGCTCCTACTCTTTCTGGCTCATAGCTTGAGGTCTGCCGCAACAATCGCACCACGAACGCAAATCATCATTCCTTCCAGCCAGCTTCCATACCCCAGAAGAAGTATGCCACATCCCACACACCATAACAACCCTCTGTTCCCATCACACCAACCCCGTCATTAACTCATCCCCGACTCCCATGAATCTACTCCCTCCCCAACTATTGTCTCGACCATCGACAAACTATCCAAACACTGCACTCCAAACCTCTCACATAGAACCTTCACATACCCCTCCTTCCAAAACCCCTTTTCCACACAAACAACCACCTTCTGTCCTTTTCTCTTCAACGCCGTCCCCAATTCCACCAATGCCGTCCCTCCCGCCCCTATTTTCCCAGCGCGAACATCCGCTCCTATGAGTCCCACCACAACAATATCCGCTAATTCCAAGCCCTCCAGTTCAAAATTCACCTGTGTGACAAATCTTTCATCTGAGGGATCTTCACGCCAAGTCGAGTCCCAGACGGTGTTGTAGGGGTCGATTATTGTGACTGGTGCAAAGCTGTTTGGTTCGTTGGTAGCATTTTTGTTATCTGTGGATGTGAAACGAGAGCGGGCTAGGAGGCGATCTGTGAGAATCTCTTGCCAGCGGCTCTCGTCTTTGTTGTAGTTTGTGGTGCCGGAGAGGAAGATTACTGGGTGGGGTATATTGTGGGGGTCGATGATTTTGCCATTTTCGATTAAGTCTGAAGAGGGGGTTAGTAAGATGTTTTGTTTTGCCGACTTGATGGATGTTGACATTGCGTTGGAGATTAGTGTGTTGACGTACTATTCCGATGTTGAGTTATGAGATGATGTAATATTGCCGGACGATCGAGGCTGTTAATTGTTTGATCCACGTTACATCGCATCTGCATCTGCATTTGTCAATTGGCCAATCACGGATCATTAAACCTGGTCATATCACTAGATTCGTGATAAATACAACCCATGTGAACCTCCATTAGATTGTCTTCTTGAAGTATATAGGATATAAATTCAATCATAATAGTCTTATCTCCAATCTATCTATCGATCCTCTAACTCAACTCCGTCATCAAAATCGTCTTCTGTCCCTTCCGTTATATGTTCATTTCTATGATCTTGCGGGAACCTTGGGCTCCCTCTCCTTCCTATCGTCTCTCCACTAGCAAGTCTAATTCTTCCCCCACTAGCACTATGTACTTTGTTACCCACCCAAGTTCCCACACTTCTCATTACACCCCATAGCCTTTCTTCATTGTTTGATAAGACGGGACCTCGTTCTTCTCTAAATCCTTCGTTGGCCTCCACTTTAAACTGGTATTTTAGGACGTCTTTGACAGTTACCAGGCCTTCTAGTTTCCCATGGTATTCGATTAAAATTACTCGAGGTCCGATCTTTTGGAATAGTTCCATGACGGTTTCCAATGGTAATCGAGGATGGACAGTAACGGGCGTAGAATCTATGAAGCGGCTGAAATCAACCGATGATGATGCCATGCCTTCGAATGTTGTAGAGGCTGCTGGTGTAGTGGGAGTCATGGGATCATGAGTTGAATTGTTGTTCAGAGGCGAAAAATAGCATTTTGCCGAAGGAGAGATAGTTCTATCCCGTTTAACACGATCGATTGCATACCTTAATTCTGTCCGGCCAATGTATCCGACTAAAATCTTTGAAACGCGATCTTCTACGATTGGAAATCCTTGATATCGATCTTCGAGGAGCAACTTTTCCAAGTGCCTCATTGTATAGCCAGTTGTCGGCAAAATGACCACATCGCCTGTCATGACTTGAGATACTGGCACACCGAAGGTATGCTCCTCTTTATTATCGAGGAAAGGAAATCCGTTGAACCAAATCATGCGATCCGCTATACCACCCTTTCCAAAGAATTCAGAGACGGCTTTCGTTACGCCGACAACAATCATAGTTGGAAGAATGTAGGTTGTTGCGCCTGTAAGCTCGAACATAATAACGACGACAGAGACAGTAATGTGCATGATTCCACTCAGAGCGGCAGCTGCGCCAAGGAATGCATATGTTCCTGGTGTGATGCAGGGCACATCGGGTTGACAGGCAGCGAAAAATACGGAGGCGGGATATGCTTCATGAATCGCCTGGACGAGAATGCCGATAGTACGACCAAAGGATGCTCCAATTGCCATGGATGGGACGAAAATTCCAGCTGGAACTTTGCATCCATATGAGATGATTACGAGAAACATTCGAATGATTGTTGCCAAAGTCAATGAAAAGACCATTTTCCATCGGTTCTCTTTATCACAAAGACCATTGTAATCCTCCGCACCTTCACATTCCAAAAACAAAATCTCCATACTCTCGGTCATATCGATTCGCAAAAACATGTTCGGATAGCAAATCAGAGCAGTTCCAGTCGCAAGTAAAGTCGCTTCGAGTATTGCATATTTGGTGAGATACTTCTTTCGAAATGCTTGTGCTCTCAAATTCCATTTGATCATAAATGCTCCATAAAGTCCACCAAATATACCTAATACGATGTAGAAAATTACCTCGAAGAAATGCCATTCACGATCATAATGAACTTGAAACATGACAAGTTGGCCTGTTCGAAATGGATTCATTGCCGCAAGAACAGCTGTTGCAACCAATGCGCAGAAATAACTTCGCCACATAGTCTTAAGGGGAAAGTATGAGGACATCTCTTCGAGGGAAAACAGAACACCTCCTATTGGGCTACCAAATGCCACAGCAACACCAGCTGCTGCACAAGCACTTAGAATTTCTCGAGTTTTGGAGGCATTTCGTTTATATTTTTCGAAAAGTCTGGAGATGACATTGCCGGTACATACTGCATAATGAACACTTGGTCCTTCTTTACCTACTGATAAGCCAGATGCAATTGCTAGAGGGAGTGCAATTGATTTAATGATCAAAGTCCAGAATCCAAGAAATCCTTTCATGACAAATCCAGCAATGATACATTTTATTTCAGAAATTCCAGATCCAGCTGCATAAGGGGCAAATGATCTTACGAGACTTGCTGAAGTCAATGCGAATATCGTCTGAAGAGGTCAGTATCGATGCGACTAAATCGAACGAAGATACCTACAGCAAATAAAGTATATATCACATAATTGACTGGTGGGAAAGAGCTCCACCTATGCCAATCATCACATCCTATACTTAATCAGCACCATATTCCTCATCTTCTGGTCATAAACATGCCTGTATCTTCCCCCCAGCAACAAAAGCTCTCGTTGAGGTAGAATCCAGTCTTGCAATATCCCAACTTAATATCTGAAAGCCATTCCGTGATTATATTCAAAAATGCAGCATTAAGACCAATTGCAGCGCCTAAACGTTCCGCATCAGCATATTACCCGTCACCAAATTGATACCATTCCGTACCTATAATAGTAACCACAATCCAAGCTTGCGCCGCATCATAAGATTCCCATAATTTATATCTCCAACCCGCATGACCGCCTCTTTCAAAAAAGCCCGCGGTTTCTCTCTTTCGCACTTTCCTTCGTATTTGTTCTTTCGCCGCATCTTGAACCCAATCTTGAGAAGTGTCAACTTACTTGTCGCAAACCGGATAAAAGAGGGGTATTACCTATAGTCGTAAAATCCTATTAAATCATAATTAGCACAAGGCTTCCAGAGCCGGCAATTTTAGCGCATAAGGTAGCATCATACCTCATAACGTTTGATTTCCTCGATTTCCTCATCTATCTGACGTTCTGCGACATTCGGCACATTGGTAGCCTCGCCTTGTTCAGCACTTGAGACGGCAAAGGATAGGCGATGAGAGAAAGAAGGACGTTGGTGGAGGCGCACTGATGGCACAGAAAAAGAAGATGATCGTGAGTTCATGGCCCCATTTGTATCGACACCATTGTGGGAATTGCAGTCATGATACATAAGAGCTCGATGCTCGAGATGGTGGCTTATTGAGAGCAAGCGGTACATGCGGCCGCAAGCGTCGGGTAAATGCTCTCGGTAGTCAGTCTTTATATCAGCGAGAATCGACCACCATTTAAAAGAACATTAACATTTCAGATCTCTCTTTAAAATAATATTGAATAATAAGAATTCCAATTTTCAGTATAAAAAAGATTCGAACTTTTGTTTAGTTTTCTCAGATTTCAGCATTCATTTTGAATTGATTTTATAATTCAACAAACAAGTGATATCGAGATAAACTCAAAAAGAGCAGTTTCCGCCTGTTTTTCCACTTGCGTAGAGAATCAATCTCGCTCTATTAACACTTTGTCTAGATTTTGACGCCTTATAGATTAGTTGCATCTTTTTCTGAGATCACGTTGAGAAGGTTGGGCACCGAAAGCTTTGGGTAGTCTCATCCTACGCGAATCAAGATTTCGCTCCACATACATCTTAATGTTCAATCTTAAGTTGAATGTTACGATGGGATATTTCTACGTGCTTGCTAGCTATCGTACTTTCGCGTCTTCTTCTCAAACTTCTTACCGCATTTCACCTTGATTACAGACCATTGGTGCCACCCTTTCCAGTTGTGAGCTTTACATGCTCTGTATGCTCTATAGCTTGCTTCATCAGAAAGTGTCAAGTCTCCCATACATTCTGGATAATGTCCACCACCACTGACACATTTGTCTTCCGAGACATGACCATTTCGAAGTATACCTTCTCGGCTGCCTTGGCATATTCTACGAGATGTTAAGAATTCTTTGCTTTCCCCAACAATGTGGGATGGGCGTCTACATGCCTCGTTCCCACAAAGCTTGTTTTTCGTCAAGTAGCTACCATCCGATATATATTTCGCTTCCAAAGCTAGTAGACCCTCTTTGGGTGGCATATGATTCTAAATGAGCAAGACGACCACCTCGTCCAGGATCAGCAACCACTTATGATTCATTAAGCAATGTGAGCAGCCATATTTCAACTCAATTGTCGCAGATGCTACCGCCCCCTCTAGAATGCATTTTTTCGGGTCCGGGAATGCCTTACTTTCAAGCTCCAAGAAACTTTTGCGAATTATGCCTAGCGTTTTTTTCTCTTGAAGACCTCTTTTGAAACACTTTGCATGATGAGGAGGAGATGAGTAACCTGAGACCCTTATATGAGATTTGGATTTTTGAAACAACTCGTCTACCCATGCTATCTTCTTACTCCGCCACACCCCTTCATTCACGAGAGGTGAAAAGTTTGGTTCTTGCTCGTCTGTAGAATCGTAGATATTAACATATGAGTCCTCGGCAGTGAGGCTATCATCAGTAAGATCACCCTTTGCGGAAGCATCCTCTGCTGCAATATTTTCTGTAGCGTTATTACCTTCCTTCAGGTGGACCAAATCATGTCTATTGACGTCAGCAGCTCCATCACCATCGCCATCATCATCAGAAATTTCGACAATTTCTAACTTGCGCTTGATACCGCTACCATAAGCACTCTTTTTCGGGTCACTTGTGGCTATTCTGACGCCAATTACTTCTTTCTTCATAGCCGCTGTGAATGCTTTGCTTTGAGTATGGCTCGATACCGTCGGCGTCGCAATGATGGTTTCTGTCTGTATTGCTGTTGCGACCATCTTGCCCTTCCTGTCGGTCGGATCTGTGGCCTTCTGGATTTTATTATCCTGTATATTATTGCTCATTCGAAAGTGCTGCCTCTCAGTCATCGTCGTCTTCTGTGCAGATAAGCGCGCGGCACTCCTGAAATCATGTTTCCACGACGATGCAAGTTGTCTGCTTTTACTTTGGTGGGACTGAAGACCCGGCGACCAACTTGAAGTTGGAGCTTCCCCGGATCTAACGATACTTGCCGACTTGTTTGATGGTAGCGTAGCTTTGGCTTCTTCGATGGCATTCGCAATAGTGGACGCCCCCTGTGCACTTTCCGCCATCTCTTTGCTTTGACTTTTACCTCCATCTACAACTTCCTCTAAAGTGGACTGCTTCTGCGTGGTCTCATTGTTGCTTTTCTCAACACTTCTGATTGATGCGGCGGTTTTTTGCACATTAGATCGAGCTGGAGTACCAGAACGGGACTTTATAGTATCATTTGTTAGCTGCTTGATGAGCACCCAATGAAGAAATTCGAACCTACTCTGGCAAGAATCTTCGAAGCTTTAATCTGGTCATTTTCTGCAATCCAAAGGGCGAACTCGAGAAGTCCTACTGCATCCCCCTTATAAGGTTGGCTTTCGAACTAAGTTGATAGTTAGTATAGCTGATGGTGAACTTTTTGAAAGTCTCATATAATGCGTATATGCCTCGAATCAAGGGAAAACTCCACATGTAATTTGGACATCTCGAATCATATTTACACAATGAATAATCTAGGCGTTCCACCTCATTCAACGCCTTCAAACATTATGCCGAATCACTCACCCTTAGAAGCACATCTGCAGCCTCCCAAATGGATCCACTCGTATGAAATACCGCGAAACGAATCAGTTCATTGTCAAATCCCAACCCCGCAACATTTTCGACGGTCAACTGGGGAGCTTCTTGAGCAGGCTGCTCCGAGACAGCTCTTTGTGCTAGAGGCTTACTTGCGCTTTCATTGGGGTTGGTCATGGTGTTTTGTTCTAGTTGAACGGTCAAGATCAATTGAGGAAGTCAGCGTGTCCTTTTGCTAGATACGTGGTGTGGATTGCTTGATGAATTATTATTGAGTGTGTTGTTGTATCTGTTTAGACAAAGTGAGGGGAGGATTTGAGACTTATTTTGGTCCAATGGGTTGAAAGGTGGAGGGTACGTAATGAGAAAAGGGTGGGGAAGGTGATTAAGGTTGGAGAAGCGAGAAAAGTGAACGAAATATAGAAAGGGGAGCGGGACAAGAGTAAAATCTCATCCCAATTTAAATTTGGCTGTAGCGTTCTATAACTTATAACGCATCCGCTGATATCATATAGCATGATTTACAATGTCGTTGCATGACTTAAAGGTCATGTACATTGTCGATTTGTTGGTTTTTAGAATACATACACAAGAGAAGCTTGATGCATCTCGCTTAACACAATAATCTCGTTACCATGCTTCATGCTGTATGCTGCTAGGCTATCATGGATAATCTTTTCCCCACGTCATGATGCCCCTGATGCTAAATAAACACACCCCCTCCTCGTACTAACACCGCAGAAGACACAAGGCCTTGCCGTCGCTGGAAATGGAATATCGCAACCCACACAGACTTCACAAAACTGAATAATAAAACTCATAGCAGAAAAGAAATGTTGTAGTGTGCCGAAGGCCAGCTTCGATTTTTTTGAGTGCAATTGTGCCGAAGGAGGATTGTTTAAACTGAGTCGTGGCGATATCAAAGTGAAAGACTTTTCACCTTGTTCGAATTACGAGGAGATTGCTCAGTTGCCAGGCAAATTTGTAGTGAAACTTCATTTGATCTCGAAGTGAGTGATGACACTGATGAGTAGACCAAGCACAAATCGAAAGTCCTTTTACAGAACATGGGAACCTTCATGCGCATCTTGACATATAGCCTGGCATGCCAACAAGTTCAGAATGTGTAATTCCCCCTCTTGTTTGACCCGTAAGTAGACACGGGGAGTTATGAGAAAATCTATTGGCTCTACCCTGACAACAATAATCAAGTCTATTTCGGGCATTGACGCGACATCTTCAACGTGAGATGATAGTGATGTGCTCTCATCCAATAAGATTCAGAAGATTCGAGTTGATATTGAGTTGGTTGGGCCGAGACTCGAACTGTTTTCTATCTTAGCATCTCAAATTCAGAGCAAGATTAGGGGCCCTAAGCTACAGACCTCAAGCAAATTGTCTACGGCGTCGAATAAATCATCATTTAAATGGTACACAGCAAAATCGACCAGTTCTCCCCTAGCTGTAGAGCGTTTCAGTGGTCAAGTCACCACCTTTAGGAGAAGTAGCAATCTTGCGTTTAGGCATGGGTAGTTTTGGAAGTTCAGCGAAAGGGGTGTGGTGCATTATAGCACCCAACAGAAGAGAGATGAGTCGACAAGCCTGGTGGATATTTTTTGGAAGCTGTCGAGATTGTTTACTTGTTAGAAAAGATAGGGAAGAGTGTCTCGACGTCTTGAGTGCTTGTTTCGAAATAAACAAACTCGCATGCAAAACCTAATAGACAAACGCTGGTAAAGTGTTCTATTGGATATTAAATAACGTGTTATCACGTGAAGCTGCAATTTCCCGCCCATCTAGGACTTTTTTTTCAATGTAACATGAAATCCTTGTGAGTCCACTTCTCCGTAGCCTTTCTCTTCGCCTTCTTTGCGAAACTGATAGGACGTCTACTTTCGACTTTTCCACGAACCAGCATATTTCTGTACCTATCTTTCAACAAGTTACCCTCGGGTTTCAGCAACCTCAATGATTCTTGCAACTCGTCTGGTAAGACGAGCTCAAGGTCCCTCTCTGGCAAAGAAATCTTTCCCAGTTTTCTTCTTCGCAGTTCCATATCATCGCCTTCACTACTATCGTCCTCCACAACCGTCAACGAGCGAGCCTTTTCTTTCTCCGCAAGAGCCTTAGCCAATTTCTTGATTTGTGCAGCTTGTTCTTCTTTCTTTTTGTTATGGGCAGCCATTTTAGCTTTTCTTTCCTCTTCCTTTCTCCTCTTTATCCTATTTCGTTGAGCTTGAGTTTTCCTCTCAGGCCTCTTAGCGTTCAAACGAACATCTTCTGCACCACTCTCAAAACCTTCCCAAGCAGAATCTTCTTCCCACTCTGACATATCTGCTCGTGCTTCCGCAGCTTCTGCCTCGGCCGCAGATCTATTCGCTGCTTCTCGCTTTTTCTGTTCTAACTCAATAGCAGCCAATCGTTTTTTCTCCGCTGCAAGCTCCTTCTCTCCCTCAGTCATCAACCTCTCTTCGTAATCTGTGAATACTGGGTTATAACTGTATCCTCCTTCCGGCTTTTTAACCGCAGGAATATCTTTTCCACTGGCTGCCAACGAAATTGGCTTTTGCTTCCATGAACTGGGGATTGTTGTCTTTTTTGCCTTCTCGAGAAATGAGAACCTTGGATCTTGTGTCGCTTCTTCTATGTCCTTCTGCTCGTCCCAGGGATCGAATGAAGCTTCCGTGACTTCAACCGTCTTCTCTTGATGCCCATCGGCAATTTTGCGTAGTCGAGTAAGCTCTTTGTGTGAAATATAACCGGTTCTTTGGCGCTTCGATTCGATAATTCCATCGGTAGTACCTTGTCCTGGGCGCTTCTTCATTGACACAGCTGGAACAGCAGAGCGTTGAGCAATGATTTCATCGGCTTTGAGTGGCTTAGAGGCTTTCAAGTATTTCTTCGGTATCGCAGCATCTCCAGCAGTATCCAAGGTGAAAAGATCAGCGGAATCCTTTTCAGCAATAACTCCACTGCAATTGAATTAGTGATATACCAATGATTGATTTACAGATGGTCACTTACCCTGCAATCAATTCATCTCTAACTTCATCCAAACCTTCTTGGACTTCTGTAACATCGACATTCTTTCTCCAAGCCTTCTTTCCTTTCCTTGACTTTTGATTGTGTTGTTGAGGAGCATCTTTAGAGCCCGCAAGTGGTTTAAGGACAGGCATTTTGTTACTGTTGTGTTGCTGAAACTTTCGAAATTCTGGCGATTGCGAGAAAAATAATTTTGAGATTACGATAATTTTTCTGATAGCTACGGTAGCCTGTTCGAGCCAAAGGCCCAGCCTCGGCCGCCTCCAACAATTTACGGTCAGGCTATTGAAGCAAGCTTCTGAAAGTCGTCCTCCTTTGTTTAAAAGGCGATACCGAAGTAAATTTACGACTTTCAGAGATTCCCTGAAAACATCTTAATCAATTAATATAAACTTCTTGACCGTCTTCATATTCTGGAACTTCAAAATGGCGCAAGCAACTGGAACCTACAATAATCCCCTGAAGAAGTTCAAGTATGTTGTTTTCTGTCTTGTCTGATACCACATCACTAATTATGATTGCAGATTGGTCTTCCTTGGGGAGCAAAGCGGTATGAACTTCATGCGGTATTCTATATGGTTGACAAGTTAATAATGAATTGCAGTTGGCAAGACTTCTCTTATTACACGTTTCATGTACGACTCTTTCGACAACATGTACCAAGCAACGATTGGTATAGATTTCCTCTCTAAAGTGAGCATTCTCCGAGCACCGTGTCCATAGCAATAAGTCTAATACTTTCTTCAGACTATGTACCTGGAGGACAGAACTGTGCGATTGCAACTATGGGATACCGCTGGACAAGAGAGATTTCGAAGTTTGATTCCTTCATACATTCGCGATTCTAGTGTAGCAGTGGTGGTTTATGATATTTCAAGTACGATATTATATTTGCCTTTCAAACTACATACTCTAATGTCTTGTTAGATCGAAAATCATTCCAAAACACAAGGAAATGGGTGGACGACGTCAGAGGAGAACGAGGAAACGATGTCATTATTGTATTGGTTGGCAACAAGACAGATTTGAACGACAAAAGAGAAGTGACCACAAGCGAGGGTGAAGAGGAGGCAAAGAAGAACAACTTGATGTTCATTGAAACGAGTGCAAAACTGGGTCACAACGTGAAGACTTTATTCAGGAGGATAGCTCAGGCTTTGCCTGGGATGGAAGGTGCTGATAACGCAGCGACGCCGAACCAAAGTAAGTTCGAATGTGGCCAACGGCATTGGAGCGGCAGTTGCTAACCGTGGAAATAGTGATTGATGTTAACGTCAACCCAACTCCTGCAAGTCAAGAAGGATGTGCATGTTAAACGAGGAAAGTAATAATGGGAGTAATCAGATTCTTTTCGATGCTTGTCTTAATTGGGACTTTGAAAGGATTAGGAGCATAGCATTTCACAGCGTATTTATATGATATCGATAGCGTACATCTTTGGCGTACCTACTTAATGAGCTCTTGAAGTTATTGTAGACTAGGGGTAGAAAGCTAAGTGATCAGATTCTGGAATAAAAGAACACACTTTACCTCATCGAGTCTTACCGTTATGAGTGCCCAAGGGTGGATTGCATGTTGAATTTACTGATCTAACAGTTTTGAAGCCTCTCGCAAGCAATCCCATGATTTCAATGATGAACGCGACCCTCTCCGAACGGGCGGAAAAAGTTGAACACCAAAATTCTACATCGCAATCTAAATTTGATATCAAAACATTCAAGTGATGTTTCTTTTTGGAATTACCAAACCCAATAAACCTCCAAATAACATTCCGTCTTCATCTCACAAAAATTGAATACGTGAAGATAAATTTAGATTCGATTTTAATTCAAGAACCACTTTCAAACTTTGCTCTTCTGTTTGCGGACTTGCTGTTCGGACTTCTTGTCTATCGCGAGCCCCTCTAAGATTGTGCCGATCCAAATATAGGTTATGGCTTACATAAGTAACGCCAGTCCGAAGATCCGAAAAACCATCTTCCAAGTTATCAATCAGGAACGACTTTGTATCTTTTCTTTTGGCGCATCATTGAATCTTTTTGCTTCTCGTCGCAACACATTGACAAGTCAAATTCCTACACACCTATACAATTTCATGATGGTCTCCTTACCGCGATGGGTGCGGGTTCCTCGCCCCAGGGTAGGTAATCTCTATTTATCAATCTTTTGTTGTCCATGGCAGAAAGAGCAATATTAATTAGTGAACAGACTTTCCTATATCTTATGACTTTACGTACCGGAACAGAAATGATTTCATTATCAATGATCTTCAATAAAGTTACTGGTTTTTACGGTCTTCTCGCAGTGCTTGCCGGCTTGAAATTGTCGCCTCTACAACTTTCAATGTACATATATTCCGTCGCGGCTCTCGCACTTACCGCGTTCCTTATGCCTCACATCCGCAAACAAACACCGTTTCAATGCTTAGCCCTCGCATGGTTTTACTTGTTCGACACGATCATCAATACCGCCTTCACCACCGCGTTCGCAGTAACATGGCTCCTAGCCGTAAGCGCCGATCAATCTAATAAGGGTATTCCAAGCGCCGCTCCAGGAGGTAGCACGATCGATGAAACGGCAGGCTTTACAAGCCCAAAATTCAATGTCAGCGCAGTCAACGTTATTGCCTCGCCGGCTTCAGGTGCTGGACAAGATGCGGTAGCATACGGAACTGCAGCGGGAGCAACTCTTGAGCAGAGTGTTGGGATCGAGGAAAGCGTTCCTAGTATTATCGTCGTTGGAATCCTCACATTGATTCGAGTCTACTTTATTTTGGTAGTTATGGCATATGCACGACAAGTGTTAAGGCAGAACATGTACTCTGCCTCTTCAACAAAATTACATCTTAACACCGATGGTAGCACCGATGCTCGCGCAGAAAATCCATTTGCGATAGACTCGCCCCAAGGGCAAGGTTGGAAGGGCAAACTTGGTAGACTTATGGTGAAGGTTGGAGAAGGATATTGGCTTGGTGGTCAAGTAGACGAAGCATGGGCCAAAGGTTTAGATGGACGATTCAAGACCCAAAGAACATTCAATGGGCCTCCAGGTACCATAGAAAGAGAAAGAAGAGCGAGAAGTGGAACAGGACCACCTATTCCTGCCAAGGGTCTCGGCATTGGGAAGTTGTAAGACTATCTATCTTCAATGTGATGATGGCCGTTTGGGCTGTGAGGAATAGATATGATAGATGGATTTCTATTGTGTTGGTACGATAATGTAAGCTGTATAGGAAAGCAATGGTGTAAACTGGAGGACGTCATTGGCATGCCATTCTGTTGATACATTTCAGAAGAGCTTGATGATCAATCTTTCGTAACCTCCAAGCTGGAAGAGGTTTTCATAGTACATATGGCGTTCTTTGGGTACATTGGTAGGGGGTGCTTGCAAGCAGTCAAACTTTTTTGGTGGATTCTCGAATTGCTTATGGTCATGGAATAGGAAATCATTGATGACGGCAAATACTATTATATAATGATTTAGGAATTAATGCAAATTGATAGTTGCAAGCTGTGAAAACATCTCGTGTTCGGGTTCCAAGTCCAGTTCAACTTTCTTGCCACCAATATTGGCCTCACTTCGATGCTTTCAAAGCCCGAATGCAACGAGGCAGCCAAGAACCATTCAAGCGTCAAACCAACCACGCTTTAAAACTAGACCAGGCACAAAACAAGACATCAACACGGGCAAGACGGGCTTTACTCGGAAAGTGCCTTATACTAAAGTAAATAAAAGCATTTCGGGATTCTTCTCCCTTGTTAATTTTGATATTCTCACCATCAAATATTTTGATCAGCATCGATGGCGTGCTCAATTGTGGCTGGTGTTTTCCTTCAAAGCCGTTTTAGATGACAAACGATACTTTTGTTGATTTCTAATTGGTCAATCACATGTCCCTTTCTCCATGAATTTATGTCCCAAATCCTTCCATTCCCTCACTATCCCCTCTGTTTACTACATACACTTGTTGACTATACCATAAATGACAATAAATCGACTGATTGCCGTTGGTCAAATGCACTTGATAGCCTCGATAGCCTCGATAGCCTCCAATATCTAAAGATATACCCTTGTATCATTCGCCGAATATCGCATCACATTAATGGCCCTAGGAGGAGGCACTTGATTAGGAAGAGAGAAAAATATATTTGATCATGTCGTTCCTCTTTCGCAGTCTCGAGAACACTTCTAATACTTCATCTCATTCTCATTCTTCTAACAAGATGGCGACGAATTCAGGAAAGATTCGTACACCTGAAGAAGCTGGTATGTCTATCCTCTCTGTGCTATCAGTTCTATCTATCAGTTCCACAACCCTGTTATGCGGCACCTTTCCCCTCCATTCACCCCCACTTCAAGAGATTCTATGACACTGATTTTATTATTTACCGTGAATAGTGGCAAGAATTGCATATTTGTCCAGCGATGTAATCATTTCTGTACAGCCTGCTCATTCAATTGAGTCGGAGTTCTCTTCACACTTACACAGATATGCTGGAAGAAAGGATCTGAGTCTTGTTGCTGCAAATGAGAGTGGTGTCCCAGAGGTAAGTTATCTCAGGTTACATTCATCCAGTGTGAATTAAAGTATTGACGTGATATTCATCTAGTTACAAACGATTCGACACAACAATGATCCTTTATTATCAGTATTTACACCAATCCGCAATGGAAAACTTGTTACAGTCACTACAAGTTCCTCAATCCTCGTTTCCTCCGTACCCCACCTATACAGACTCGCCAACTTTCCAGTGGTCATTCACGTCTCATTACAACCCTCACAGTATCCAGATTACTCTTCGATAACTTCGATACGAAATTCTGGCTTCACATTTTTACAGTCCGAGACATTACAGGAGGCACAAGATATTGCTGTGACTGCACATGCTCTCGCTATCAAGTCAGGGAAAGGTGTCATTCATTTCTTTGATTCCAGATCGGCAGCCAACGATGAAGATGTTGATTTCGAGGACCCAAATGTTGTCTCAAAGATCTTGAATATCGATTCTGTGAGAGTGTTTCAAAGCAGCAAGATTGGAGGCTCTAGCATATATGCCGATGATGGAAGAATTGCAACTATTTCCGAGAACGTTGCAACAGGCGTTACGTCCGGAGGGGAGAATAGTACTGAGTCCGCTGTACCAGGCCAGACAACCACTGAGGTACCATCTAAGGCTTCATCTGTAGGATCCTCCAAATCCTCTTCAGTACGAGCAAGCAGTGTGGATAGCAGTGCTTCTTCTGCTACAACAGTCGATGCGCCAAATGCACGGGCTGTAAGCTCGGACGATATTTATAACTTTGTCTCTGGCATTTGGGATCAATTGAAGTTGATGGTTGGCAGAGAGTATACTCCTTTTCAATACACTGGCCCTTCGAATGCTGAAAATGCCTTGTTCATTTTTGGATCAGATGTTGGATTATTTGGCCGAGCAATTGACGAAGGAGCCGACGAAGTTTTTGCCAAAGCTGGTATCATTACTGCACGACTGTATAGGCCATGGTTGGGCTCTAAATTGATCGAGGCCATCCCTAGATCTATTAAGAGAATCGCTGTTCTCGAGCAAATTAGAAGAAAGACAACCAAATGGGGACCTTTACTTTTGGATTTACTTACCACACTCAAATCGGGACCTGGAGGCGGTGTAGAAGTTATCGTTGGACACCAATTGGGATTTATTGAACCGGATACAGTACGACAAGCACTTCGTGGTGTTGTACAAAATTTGGTTTCCGAGAAGCCGGTTCAGAACTTGGAGGTCGGGAATCCCGATGGACCTAATGAATCTTCAAGCGATCCTGCTTTAAGCCAACCAAAAGTCGAGTCTGCTTATATGAAGATCTTGGACCAGGTCTTCGGTAAGAGACTTCATTTGGCAAATCAAATAGGTTCCCAAAATGCTGGTATCTCGTCCACCATTGCGTCAAATCCAGAATTTGGTTTTGGTTCTCTTTTAGCTAGAAAAGAGCATCGCCAAAGGTTTACCGAGGAAATCAAGGAGGCGGCCCAATCTAAAGAATTTATCACAGAAGCACCTAAATCATGGCTTTCAAAATGGTCTGCAGATGCCAGTGATGATTTAGCAGATGAAATCATTGCTCGCCTCGAAACAGATGGATCTGCGTTATCACGAAATTTACTGTCAAAGAAGGGATTGTTCCGCAAGGAGTCCCCTTGGCTTGTTGGCTCTGATGCTTGGGCGTATGACCTTGGAAACTCTGGTGTACACCATGTCATCGCATCCGGTGAAAACGTCAACATGCTCATCATCGACTCCACACCATACTCTGAGCGCTCAGCCGCTGATGCCGAAAGAAGAAAGAAGGACATTGGTCTTTATGCCATGAACTTTGGTAACGCTTACGTTGCATCTGTTGCTGTGTACAGTTCTTATACTCAAGTGCTGCAAGCAATGATTGAGGCAGATCAATTCAATGGTCCATCTGTTGTCGTTGCTTACCTTCCATACTTCAAAGAGAATGATTCTCCTCTCACAGTTCTCCAAGAAACCAAGAAGGCGGTAGACCTTGGCTACTGGCCATTGTACAGATGGAACCCTGACAATGAAGAAAAGGGCGAAGTCAACTTCTCTCTGGATTCAGAGCGAATCAAGAAAGAACTCAAGGACTTCTTGGCTCGTGATAACCATCTCACTCAGTTGATGAAGAAGCATCCCCAATTCTCATCCAATCTTTCCGAAGATTACGGTACAGAAGTACGTGCTTTACAAAAGAGAAAAGCCAAGGATGCATACAATGAGCTTCTTGAGGGTATGCTCGGTGCACCCTTGACTATTCTCTTTGCTTCGGACAATGGCAACGCTGAATCTTTATCAAAGAGATTGGGTAACAGAGGTAAAGCCCGTGGCTTGAAGACAATCGTCATGGCTATGGAGGATTATCCCATCGAAGATCTTCCCACTGAAGAAAACATTGTCTTCTTGACGAGTACTGCTGGTCAAGGAGAATTCCCACAAAATGGTCATGCATTCTGGGAAGCCATCAAAGATAACACCGACTTGGATCTCGCATCAGTCAATTACTCTGTATTCGCCCTTGGAGATAGTCATTACTGGCCTCGCAAAGAAGATAAACACTATTACAACAAGCCAGGAAAGGACCTCGATCGTGTCTTGGCAAATCTCGGTGGAAAGCGTCTTGCTGATGTTGGACTGGGTGATGATCAGGATCCAGATGGATACCAAACTGGTTATCAAAACTGGGAACCTATCATTTGGCAGTCTCTCGGAGTCGACAAAGTTGAAGGTCTTGAGCCTGAAGCTCCACCGATTACCAACGAGGACATCAAAATCGAGTCCAACTACCTTCGTGGTACCATTGAAGAAGGATTGAAAGATATGTCAACTATGGCCATTTCTGCCGCTGATCAACAATTGACCAAATTCCACGGTACATATATGCAAGATGACCGTGATCTTCGGGATGAACGCAAGGCACAAGGTCTCGAGCCTGCTTATTCTTTCATGATTCGTTGTAGATTGGCTGGTGGTGTTGCCACTCCAAAGCAATGGATTCAAATGGATGATGTCAGCAACGAATTCGGAAACGAGACCATGAAACTTACCACCCGCCAAACCTTCCAATTCCACGGTGTCATCAAAACCAAGCTCAAGGGAGCCATGCGTGGTATCAACAAATCTTTGATGACCACCATCGCTGCATGTGGTGATGTCAATCGTAACGTCATGTGCAGTAGTTTGCCAACTGGTTCAAAATACCATAAGCAAGTTCATGCCATTTCTAAGAAGATTTCTGATCATCTTTTACCGTCTACAACTGCTTATCATGAAATTTGGATCAAGGATGAAGATGACAAGAAGGTTCAAGTCGCTGGCGAAGCTGTTCAAGATTATGAGCCTCTCTATGGTCCTACTTATTTGCCAAGAAAGTTTAAGATCACTATTGCCATCCCACCACACAACGATACTGATGTATATGCTCACGATGTTGGTCTTATTGCTATCAAGGGCGAAGACGGTAACTTGGCAGGATTCAATCTTCTCGTCGGTGGTGGTATGGGTGTTACACACAACAACAAGAAAACATATCCTAGAACTGGAAGCAACCTTGGATATGTTTCCAAGGAACAAGCTCACATTGCTTGTGAGAAGGTCATGCTTGTTCAGCGTGATCACGGTGATCGCAAGAACCGAAAACATGCTCGTCTCAAGTACACTGTTGATGATATGGGTGTCGATGTTTTCAAGGGCAAGGTCGAAGAATTATGGGGCCAGAAATTCGAGAAGGCTAAGCCATTCAAATTCCAAAGCAACATCGACACATTTGGCTGGGTAAAGGATGAGACTGGATTAAACCACTTCACTCTTTTCATCGAAAACGGTCGCATTGAAGACACTGCCGACTTCCCAATGAAGACTGGCCTTCGAGAAGTCGCCAAGGTTCACAAGGGTGAATTCAGATTAACCGGTAACCAACATTTAATCCTCAGCAACGTTGCCGATGAAGACCTTCCAACGATGAAAGAGATGTTAGCTAAGTACAAGCTTGATAATGTTTCTTTCTCCGGAATGCGTCTTTCATCCTCCGCATGTGTCGCTTTCCCAACATGTGGTCTTGCCATGGCTGAGTCCGAACGTTATCTCCCACAACTCATTACTAAACTCGAAGGCGTCATTGAAGAAAATGGCATGCGTCAAGATTCTATCGTTATGCGTATGACAGGTTGTCCTAACGGATGCGCTAGACCTTGGTTAGCCGAAGTTGCTTTCGTGGGCAAAGCCTATGGTGCATATAACATGTATCTTGGAGGTGGATATCACGGTCAACGTCTCAACAAACTCTACAGAAGCAGTATCAAAGAAGAGGAAATTTTGGAGATCATGAAGCCATTATTGAAGAGATACTCGTTGGAGAGAGAAGAGGGCGAGCACTTCGGAGATTTCTGCATTAGAATTGGTATGATTAAAGAGACGACTGAGGGAAAGACTTTCCATGATGACGTGAGTATTTCTGTTCCCTAACACATGACTGAGATTTGTCCTAACGTTAATAATAGGTTGCTGAGGAGGAATCTGACGAAGAATGAAGATATGATTGATTGATTGAATAAAATTCCAATAGAATAGTCCTTTCTACACTGCACGTGCGCATGGCGTTTCAACGGGTTTAAAATTACCAAATGATTTATGTTGCTCTTCTTTTCTTGTTCATATCTTCTCAGATATGCTATGAATGTATTTCAAACAAAGTTTGGCATTCAACTGCACATCCGATGGGGTTGGTTGGTTTTCTCAATCTGTACATATTTGAGTCACTGGCAGCATTGTCTTCTTAGATTCAAAATAAAATGTACATTACAAAATTCAGGAAGAAATTTGACATCTAGATTGTCTTTTCAGTATTTTATGATGCTGTCACAGTCGAGGACAAGCCAAAGCCAAGATGTCGAACTTTAAGTGAATTTTATCATATCTTGGAGATGGGTAATGACTGCAAAGATCGTCGAGGCATTCCATATCAAAGTCAAGTAAAGCTTGTTTCTAGCCAGTTAGGATGCAATTCATAATGAGATGGATTGGTATTCATGGCGCAACATTCAGGTGAGATGTTATTAGTTGTGTTAATGGAGTGATTCTTTGATTTCCTACGGTGGGCTTAACCTGAAGCTGTTGAATTACTTAGGGACGACATTGATGAACTGAAGTTGGCACATTCATGGGTTCAAGCAGAAAGAAGCGCCAAACGGGTCTCTATATGTCATCTAGTGTAATGTAAAGTCATTTGCTATGCATACTAGGTTTTTCCTTGTGTCTGAAATGTATGTTGATACTAGGGACTGCTTTCTGTGGCTGCAATCTATGAATTATAAGTTACTTACTGGAGATGGCAATGCTGGTATAAGTTGTACCATTTCCATGCAGCTCGAATTGTACGATGAAGTGGATTGGGTATGTTATGGTTGAGAAATTTGTGTAAAAGCTCATTATGGTGTCTGGAGTATAATCATCAGTAACTGACTTGAAGAAGATGTGCCAGTCTCTTCTAAAGTCTCCTTCACAAGCAGTTCCTTGATTGTTTTTTCAACAATCTAATGCAAGATTGCATCCCTTCCATCAGATTTGATTTAGCGAGGTATCCTTTCACAAAGGAAGCCCGTGTTGTACACGGAATAATGTTGTTACTACTACACAACAGAGGAAGGAACTTGGTCGCACCTATCATTCTGATATAACTTCTCGCACCGAATAGGATCACCTCGATTTGATGGATACATTGAATTTGAATAACAGGTAGGTACGATGGAAGCTAAAAGTTTAGTTTCGTACTCCTTCACTAAAATCGAGGGTCCTTCTATGCGAGATTAATTCTTTTTTCCCCCCTACAACTACGAAACCCTCTCGTCGACAACACTTTTTCTTTCCACAAGTACTCAATTTTTTCCAATTCTTCAGTTGTAATTCATGTTCTTGATACACATTGTGAATCGTACACCCTCTGTCACACCATCTTGATAATTTCCTGCCAAAATCTTCCTTCCCCTTCATTGTCACTTTCCATTCGCAATACCATACAAAGTTTCTATAGCGATCATTCATTTCATTTGACGAGATCCGCATTTCCAGTGTACCATAACAAATTACCAAGACGCATACATAAAAATGGCTACACCCGCTGTACTGGCAGATTCTGCTGGTGATCCTCAGGTCGACGCCGATAATCTTAATGCAATGGCGTCTGCATATGTTCAGCCCCAACATAAGAAATTCCACGATTCTTCAGTCACTTTTGAGGAATATCATTATTATGCCGGTATCGCACGCACAGAAGAGGATGCCAGTACTAATGATGATATTAGCGACACCACTTTGTTTTCTCTTATTGTTCCACCCAAGAATTTAAAGGGTCAAACTCCGGTCAATTCCGTACCTGTGGCGGAGAAGTCGAATGAGGGAAATGCTAAGAATGGAGCTGCAAAGATAGATATTGAGAGAAATGTACATGATATGTCCCATGGTGATCGTTCGACGATTGCAAATGATGAGTGGACAAATGCCAGTAGGGCTTTGAGAACGGCTACTTGGTCTTCAGTTTTTTATCTGATTACCACAGATATCTTGGGCCCTTTTGGTGTTCCGTAAGTGATTGAATGGCTGCTCTTTTGATGCAAAATCAGCTAATACTTTACTTGCTAGTTTTGCCTTAGGTACTCTAGGCTGGGGACCTGGTATCGCACTCTATACTGTATTTGGAGGATTGGCAGTGTAGTAAGATATTTTTGATATCTGTACTTGAACCACACGCTAACAACTACTAGTGGTGGGTTCCTTTTATACTACATGTTCCTCGGGCTCGATTCCCATCAGTATCCATTGAGAACGTATGGAGATATAGCTTTCCGAGTTTATGGAGCACCTGTTCGACACACAGTCAATATTCTTCAATCTATCCAACTCCTCTTCAATGTCGGTGTGATTGTTGTTGGCAGTGGGCAGGTGAGCATATCTCTACTTGATGGACTTTCTACTATTTTTTAAGTCTTTCATCATTCTAACATAATCATAGGCACTTTCTCAAGTCTCAAAATTCAAACTATGCTACGCAATCTGCTGTCTGGCATTCGCGCTTGCTGGTTTTTTCCTTGGTCAAGTTCGCACTTTACAAAAGTTTGGCTGGTTAGCCAATGCCGCCATCTGGATGAACGTTTTCATCATTTTGTGTTCGATGATTGTCATTTCACATAGTGCGCCAAATTACTTAGCTGTGGATGCTGCTGCTGGAACTGCACTTGGTGGTGCACTCGTCATCCCGGATGATGCTGGTAAATTTCCACCCGTCACAACATTTGGCAATCTCCCTCCTTCAACAGCTGGTTTCACTGGTGCCGTGAATGGACTCATGCAAGCCGTTTATGCATATGGAGGAGCTATGTTATTCACAGAATTCATGTCGGAGATGCGCAAGCCCCGTGACTTTTGGAAGGGTATGATTTGTGCTCAAGCATTCATCTATATTCTGTACATGATCTACGGATGCTTCATCTATGGCTACCAGGGTCAATATGCTGTCAATCCTTCCTTTCAAGGTGTATCCCCCTATGCATGGCAAACTGTCAACAACATTATTGCGTTCATGTCAGCTCTTATCGCAGCGGGCCTATACGGTAATATCGGTATCAAAGTCCTATACAATAACATATTAATGGATTTCTTTGGTGCACCACCTCTCAACTCACATAGAGGAAAATTGATTTGGATGAGCATTGTTCCAGTTTATTGGTCAATCGCTTATATCGTTTCTGCTGCCATACCAAATTTCTTTGGTCTCTCGTCCCTTGTCGCAGCCCTCTGTATTCTACAATTCACTTACACATTTCCGCCTATCCTCTACGTGGGCTACTGCATCCGAGTTGATGCTATTCTTGATACGGAAGGTTTCAATCCCACCACCGGTCAAGTCACACTCACGGACACTGGGTTTAAAAGAATCCTGCGAGGTTTCAAAAAGAGATTTATTTTGAACACCTGGAACATCATTTACTTCTGTGGTGCATTGTTGACGGCTGCTTTGGGCGCGTATAGTGCTATTGAAGCATTGATTGCGGCCTTTAAGGAGCCTAAAATCACGGCTTTTACGTGCAGGAGCCCAGTAAATGCTGGATAAGGCAGTCCAGGCAGAGAGAAATTTGTTTGCTTTTACAAGACTGACGAATTCGAATGCCAGGTTATGCTGGGGAATCATACAACATATGAAGTGGTTCAATGGATGCGAGGAAATCGAAAGTTCACCTAGCTAACTAAGAGACGTATTTTGGGGTAGTTTTGGTTTGCTGTTTGTAGTATTACGGGTGAGGCGAATTACTAATTATGTGTGAGAAATATGTTACATATTGCTAGCGAAGAGTGGAAGAAATTTCAAAGGAATATCTATATATTCACAGGTACTTTATTTGCTTAAATATACGATACTAAAGGGAAAAAATGGGGAGGTTGATATCATTACACTTATGTCAAGATATCTTAGCTATACAAATAAATGTATTTTGATGTACAAGAACATGTTTAACTTGTATAATAGATATCCTTGAAACTTTTAAGATTAAATACGTCAATGCAACCAGTACAAATGATTATAAAATTATGGATATACTGGCAATATGCAGAAAGAATGTGGAGTTTACGAGTATTTGAAATTGTGAGTAACAACTAGTTATAGATTTTATTTACTAGATATAGATATATAGTAGTATGATAAACAATAGTGATATTAGTAATATAGTAGTAGTAATATAATAGTAGTAGTAGCAGTAGTAGTAATAAAAATACCTAGCATTCGAAATTGTAGCCTAGCTCCACTTGATGGGTTGGGATTTCTATGATACGCGTGATAGATCTGGGAACATGGGGAATTCTCTGAATCATACGTCCTCTCTCTTTTGGGAGGAGAAAATATGGAATTATCTTGTTGAATCTTGATGAAAAAATGGTGAAGGATCTCTCTCTAGTGTGAATTGACCGGTAGAGGGTTTGTGAAAGAGATTTTTATTTTCATTTGGTTGGTTGTTTGTTTATTTATTTATTCATCTATCTACTACTACTCCCAATGAGCCCTCACGCCTCCCCAGCCGCCTTCTCCTTATGTCCCTTCACCAAACCCTCTCTCCTGGCCTCCTCATCCACAATGTACGGAATCTCCTCTTTCAAACTCCTCCCGGTCGGGTTCCACCCCAGATACTTCCTCGCTCTCTGCGCGAACCCCTTCGAATTCAACCCCCAGGAAATCGCTTCAAATCCCGCTAACTCCTTTGCTTCATCCACATCCATCGCGGCTACCTCTTTCGTGTTGATAAGTCCTTTGGCGAATGCGTCGGCGCCGACTTGTTGGGAAACTTCGCCCCAGACATGGTGACCGTTTTCGGCGAGGAAATACCCTTTCTCGTTCCAGATTTCTACGTCCTCGGAAGATTGGGAGTTTGAGACTGCGCGCTCGGCGAGCAGGAGGAAGAGAGTGCTCAGATCGTGGACGTGTACGTTATCCCACTCGGTGCGACCTTTTCCGAGTTGGGGGGCTTGGCCTTTTTGCAGGGTGATGCGGACGAGGTTGTAGACTTGTCTGCTGCGTTGGTTGCCGGGGCCGCGGCCGGGGCCGTAGATGGTGGGGGGACAGACGATGGCGGTTTTGAGGGAGGGGGAGCCGGCCGAGAGGACCAGCTTGTCGATGTCTCGGTGGAAGGCCGAGTCGGGGAGGGAGGTCAGTTGAGAGACGCCGGTGAGATCGTCGTAGGGGGGTTGCGAGGGGGCCTCGCCGTAGGTTTGCGTTTCCATGTCTTTCCAGCAGAGGATGCCGGTGCCGGAGAGGTGCAGCCAGTAGCCTGGGTTGGAGGGGGTGTGGCCGCGAGCGAGTCCGGTGGCGATGGCTTTTGCGGCTATTTCGTGGTCGGAGGAGTCGGCTGTGTCTGTTTGTGTGGGGGTTTGTTAGGGGGGTTTTGGGGTTCTGGTTTCTGTAGATGGGATGGGGGGTTGGTTCTATTTTATATGATATAATATAAAATGGAATAGGATGAATAGAATGGAGGTTTGGTTCTATTTTATATGATATAAAATGGAATAGGATGGGATGGGATAGGATAGGATAGGATAGGATAGGATAGGATAGGATAGGATGGGGATTTGGTTTTATTCATATGATGTAAAATAGAATAGGATAGGATAGAATGAGGATTTGATTCTATTGCATATGATATGATAGAATAGAAGGGGAGAAAAGAATAAAAGAAGGGGAACATACGTAACACAACATCGGCCTTGGCAGCTTCTTCTTCAATAATCGACGCATCTTCCAAAGTACCATATACTAAATGGACTTTTGGGAAGGCGGCGGCGACGGGCGCCCCTCGATCAGAGTTGCGGACGAGAGCTGTGAATTCCCAGTCTGGGTGGGCGTTGTAGAGTGTGTAGAGGGCATCGCCTCCGGTGTACCCTGTGGTTCCTGTGCTTTTGGGGAGTGAGTTTGAGGGAGTTTTGGTGGTGGTGGGATGGGTAACTTACATGAATATTTTGGGCGCCATTGTTTGTGTCTTGTAGATTTTACGCGGTGTTATTTTATCGAATTGTAAATACAAGTTTTGGTTTGCTTAATTGATGTAAATATAAGAAATCCAACAGAATAGAGATATCTTGAAAGGAGATGGGTATATATAAATAGTGAGCTCTTCGATCCCGTCATTGAAAATATTATGGGGTCGTCATGACGTAAGATACTTTTCGCATGTAAGTTATTTATAAGCAAGCAATAGAGGGGTAAATATTGAAATTGCCCATGTTTTCGATGTTTTCGATGTTTTGTTTTCTCTTAAGAATTTATCCATCGTCTTTCATTACCCAGGTGTGAAGTGTGAGTGCGTGTTATGTGAATTTGATAGGACTCCTACTAGCTTTATGTGTAAGAGAGGATTTGACCTCCTCTCCGGAATCTCTCTTTATTCATTGTTACTTGCGAATGAATGTTTTCACTGATCTTATTTAAAGAAAGAATACTGTTTTTATGGATTTGGCCATTTGATATATTTAGATATATATATATATATATATATACATACCTATCTAGGTATACTCTGTCTGCTTTATTTACTAACTTGTATTGATTTGCTATGCTGATGTAATCCTACGCTCGTAGATTACCAAGAATGATATTGCAGGATTTCAACTTGAGATCCTGGAGACAAGTAAAGGTCCTGTTTTGATAGATACCTCAAGTACCTAGGTAGCCAGGTCTATTTGTACTTCCCCCTACCGGGGATCTATCTCTTCGATCTTCATGCGGGTACCTGTCAGCATCTTCTTGGTATGTATGGTACATGGACCAGCTCGACCGGCTATATTCACTGCTCTTCGGAATTTCGGATGAGGAAAGACAGTCCGTCAATGGTACAAGTGATTTTCATTCAAACAAGGCGACTGGAGAGTGAGGTCAAGATAAAAGGTCAAGATAAAAGGTCAAGATAAAGTTCAAGATAAAGGGACAATATAAAAAGTCAATATAAAAGGTCAAGATAAAAGGTCAATGTAATCCTTACTCGAATCCACAACATTCTAATTGCCCCAGTTGCCCAGTGTAGTGTAATTAACCTTAATGTTTGGCTCGGGAGTGAGGAGGATGAAGAATATGAAGAGTCAACAGCTTGAAGTATCAGAATTCGGTGTTGAGAATCGAAATGGATGTTGAGGACTATTTGATATGGTACTTGGGTAAATATACTACTATGGTAATCTAGGTCGGTAGAGGGGATTTCAAGATAGCTAGCTCTTCAGTCAACCAAAGCGGTAGATGATTCAATAGCTGTGATTAATGGCGTACTCTCGAAGGTTGTTTCACTGACTGACCACCACCGAAATAAGAAGCTCACCAAACTTCTCACTTCCTTCCTTCCTTCCCTCCCTCCCTCCTTGGCAAATGGGCGGGGGGAAGTTGGGAGGTGGCGAAGCTTGGATTTCTTCCAACTACTAGGTAACAATCAATGCGATAAGGTCTGGCTGTGGAGAAAGAGAGGGAGATGGAAAAGGGATTGAAGCATCTCATCTTGGTGTATATATACCTAGTACTGTTGGTTGGTGAACAACTTTGGAATTGCTTCAGAATTGATGCCGATATGGAAATTGATTCGATACCACTCGAATGCTTGATACTGACTCTACTCAATTACCAATCGTTCTAGTAACCAACTTCATACTCGGGCAAATGAGACCAAACGATCTTCCCTCTTCGGTCACTTTCACGGTCCGACTCGCTCGCACGATGAAACTTTATTAGAGGCAATCCACCTCCAATCAACACAACTTCTTCAAGACAAACGGACACTCCTGCTAATCTGCCATGAGGACCAACCAACTCCACCCACCTATCAATCAACCACTACCGCCATCTATCACAAGATGTAACAGAAGAGTATGACTGCGGAACATTCATTGCGTGGGTCTCTACCGACCTACCTAGTCAACTTGACCTCACTCATAACCACCTGGCAGCTAATTATCCTCCTGTTCATCCATCCATCTTCCCTACCATGTTTCATGTTTCAACCTCCCCTCCCTCCTCCCCGCCCCCCGGATGATTATCCTTTTACAACACAATCTTCATCATCCCATCCTTCACAGGTAAATGAGTCTCGATTCGGTAATAAATCACCATCACACAAGGATTCATAAATATAAGCTTAAATTCTTAAGCATATTTCCATCTTTTGACCAACATTTTTATCATTTTTAGGTAAACATATTCCGTAACATAACCAACAATCAACCCAAATAGCCACACTCACACTCACACTCACACTCACACGCAAGTAACCATTCACCAATTCTGAGATCCTCATTGCCAAGTGACTGATTCCCCGCCCTTCATCTATTAAACATGCACATACATAAGGTACACATTCATAAATCTTTCCCTCAAGATGGGGGTATTACTCAATCTTCTCCTGCAACAAATTTCTTTTCTTTCTTCTTCCATTTCCTCCATTTCCTCCATTTCCTCCATCTTCTTCTTCAGTACACACTGCGTGAAACAAACATACACCTATTTCATCATGCGTTTCAATCCGAGAGACGTCTTTGTGAATGGTACCATTACCGCAAATCTATTCGTTTCCTCATACATTGGTACCATCAGCACATTACAATTATCCAAAACGTTAAATGGTTCATACTCGCTCAATACGTTATCCGTCAACAATGTCACAAGAGATAATCCTTCGTGGTTGCATAAAGATCCTAAAAATGGTATCTTGTATTGTTTAAACGAAGGTTTAACTGTCAGTAATGGAAGTATCTCAAGCTTCACCATTGCTGATAATGGTACCTTGAGCTTATTGGGAAATGGTTTGACCATCAGTGGTCCGGTCAGTTCGGTTCTTTTCAATGAAGGAAGAACCATGGCGGCTGCTCATTAGTAGGTTTTATACTTTTATCTTTATTCAGATCTTTCTACGAAAGAGATCAATACATCATACTAACAGACAACAGCAATGGTGCCTCTCTCACCACCCACAACATCCAAGCAGATGGAACTCTCTCCCCCCTCCAAACCATCACCTTCACCATGCCCGGCCCGGGACCCGATCCCCTCAAGAGACAGCTAACCCCGCATCCTCACGAAGCCCTCCTGGACCCAACCGAGAAGTACATCGTCGTCCCAGATCTCGGCGCCGATCTCGTCCGCGTCTTCTCCATCGATCCCGCGACCGCTCTCCTAACAGAACTCACCCCCTACACGGCTCCTCCAGCGAGTGGTCCCCGTCATGGCGTCTTTCACGTGACGGATTGTGGTGATACTTACTTCTATCTGGTTTCGGAATTGGCGAACACGGTGTCGAGTTTTAAGGTGACTTATGGAGAGGGGTCTGAGGGATTGACTTTTACCAATATTGATAGTCATGGTATTTATGGTGATGAGAAGACACCTGAGGGCGCGGCAGCCGCGGAATGTCTTTTGACTGTAAGTTTCTTGAAGCTTTTATCAGCTTTTGTTCACAAAGCGATAAAAACACCATGTAAAATCCAGAGCACACACTAACATCCCCAGCCCGACGGAAAACACATCCTCACCTCCTCCCGCAACGCCACCATTCTCTCACTCCCCCAACCTCCCACGCACCCACTCAACTCCACCGCTCTCCCCTCCGACACCCTCCAAACGTGGAGTATCAACACCGCCTCCAATGGTACTTATGGCAGTCTCTCTTTCTCGCAACTCTTTCCCTCGGGCGGCATCTACCCGCGTCAAATGTCGATGAATAAAGCTGGGACGCTTGTAGCGGTCGCGTTGCAACAGAGCGCTAGAGTAGGGATTGTAAAGCGTGATGCGAAGACGGGATTATTTGGGGATTTTGTGGCGGATGTGCAAGTGGGTGTTTTTGAGGGGGTGGCAGGGTTGAATGGCCAGATCACGAGTGTGATTTGGGATGAGGTGGAGGAGATTTTTTAGGTTTGAGTTTGGAGTACTAGATGGTTGGGTGGAGATGGGTGGGGAGGGGTTAAGGAGGGAAATGGGAGTTAGATGATGTTCATACTGGTTTTTGAATATTCATCAATACTACTCCTAGTGAGGGGATGAAGAGAGAACAGAGGACCTTTATTCTTTTATCGATGATATCGTTTCATATCACATCACATCACATCACATTGCATCATACCAGCGACGAAACATCAACGAATAAACGAGGAGAGATACCCATTCATCCATGTACATACATACATTCAGTTTTCGAGCTATGAGTTTACCTAGATACATACATACCTACCTACATTCAAATTAGATTAGAATAGATGAATAATTAAATAAATCGTTGTATTATTTATTAGTTATTTTGAGTATAATAACTAACTAATTGTATAACTAGCTTGACTTGATATCTTGTTTTACTTTACTTTACTTTACTTTACTTCCTACATCTCTACTTACCGAGGCCGATAACAACCATTTTGCTAATATACCAAAAATAGAATTCTACTTAATACAAAAAAAAAATCTAAAATTTGTATGGTATATCCATACAAATCTTAGAAAAATAATTTGTACCATGCAGAGTACAATCTTATCACATATTATTATAAAAACTATTTATAATATATCTTTATTTTTTAAATAAAATAATAATAATAGTAATATTATTATATATCAGCTTATATTATAAAAATAGTTTTTTCTTTTTCTATACCTATTAAGTTTATGTAATCATTTTAATGTATATAATCTTAAAATAAATAAATATATAAAATGTAAATAAACAATTGAATCTATAAATATCTCAATTTAGATTATTCAAATTTATTCAAAAATGTAAGTATTTAATTGTATAAGCAATATTAAAATGATATCTGTTTTTGTTATAGTTAATTATAATAACTTTTATAATTCTATTTTAATTATCTTTCAAATTAGTTTTTCTTTATATTCCTCTTATGCTTTAGAGGATTTATTAGGTTTAATTCAATTTGAATCTCTTTTGATTAATAAAAATCGAATTATAAACTATTCTGTTTATTTTATATAACCCTTTATATATTCTTTAATTAATATTTATTAATTTTTTAATAATTAAAATATTATTTTATACATGTAGATTATCTT